GAAAGGAAAACGCCCCACCCGCCCAAGACCCACCGGCCGCACCCGTCCAAGAGTTGCTTCCAATAGTCCAAGTACCAGCCACCGCCCCGGTCGGAGCCACACCCATTCCCGAAGATGACCAACACATGACAAATAATGCCTAGGCCCCGAACCACCGCGCTCGCACACCAACTCAATTGTGCACGGAGCGAACTTATTACCAAGGCGGCGGTAGAAGAAGCGGAAACAGACTCTAGCATTTATTTTTTATTATTACAAGAACCATGGACCTCAGCAGAAGGATACCCACCAGAATCAAACCTCTTTTATATTTTCACAGCCAGCAACACCAACACAAAGTGTGCAACATACGTCCGTAAGCATGCCAACCTCAAACCAAAACACCACTATACACACGATAATTTTATAATATCGATTACGGTAGAAATTCAGAACAAGAAAACCCAAATCCTAAACATATACTCCCCAGGCCGAAGTGGCCCCTTCGCACAGATAGCAAGTACAATCCAAACCCTTGACAATTGCCTAGTAATGGGAGACTTCAACTGCCACCATCAGATGTGGTATGGAGTAAATTCACATGAATATAGAAACAACATTCGAGCAGACCGCGTCAACGGTGCACGGCTAAAACGATGGATAACCCGACAAAAACTGACCCTTCTGAACGAACCAGGCGTCTTCACGCATTTCCCCAGAGACAGAGGGAAAAGGCCCACAATCATCGACCTTACATTTGTAAAAGGCCCAACACTTGACCACAACCTACGATGGAGCACTGAACCCTACGGAGCGGGCTCAGACCACGGGAGAACCTCCGTTCACTTACACTTGGAAAAACCACCTTTTGTACCAAGACGAATGTGGCGACAAACAGACTGGAAACTATTGGAGAACCACATGTCAAACATTTCCGTCCCTGCAGAGGCATGGGAAACCAAGGAACACACGGAACAAACTGTCGATTTCTTCCTAGAACTGGTCAGGTCAACAGTCAGCATAGTAACACCACTCTCGAAGGAGGGGGTAAGAGCCAACTCCTGGTGGTCAGATGAAATGAAACAAATGAAGGCAAGGGTAAATGCAGCAGAAAGGAAAGCGAGAAACACAAGGAAACCCAATCACGTGGAGGAACACTGGAAGGTTTGCAGAGAATGGACAGTCATGATCCGGAAAGCAAAAGCGGACCAGCGGGAAAAGACGATGAACGAGGCGAAAGGTAGTGAAGTCTGGAGAATCCTAAACGTAGGAAGGAGAAGAGACACAATCATACCAACCACACAAGGTGAAGAAACGTTTGCGGGGAAGTGTCAAGCTCTAAGAGCCCAACTTTTCCCCTCGAAACGGACGTCCCCCGACCATCCCCCCCTAAACATTAGACCCCCCTCTTTTGACCTTAGCAACACCTTCGACATAGTCACCCCCGAAGAACTTAATAAACCAATCGACTCCTGTCCAGCGCACTCGGCGACCGGCCCGGATGGCATCCCTTATACCTTTATTAAAGCGATAGTCAGAGCAAACACAAATCTAATTCAAGACATGTTCTCCGCCATGCTCCGGCACGGAGTACACCCAGCGGAATGGAAAATAGCTAAGTGTATCCCGATCCCGAAACCCGGTAAAGCAAACTATCATGAAGCAAAAGCCTACCGGCCTATTTCCCTTCTACAATGCTTCAGCAAAATCCTGGAAAAGATAGTGGCCCAAAGACTCTGCACCGCTGGAGAAATCCTAGGTACACTCTCAGCGAATCAATTTGGAGGAAGACCAACCATCTCGGCAATCGACGTCCTCCTGAAGACCTTAACACCAATACAACAAAACCTACTTCTGAAAAACAGCACCGGAATCGCCCGGCGAGACAGACCAGCGATCCTAACCAACGACATCCAAGGAGCATTCAATTGTGTCGATCACCTACTCCTCGCGGAAATCATGCACCAACAAAAATTCCCTACCTATCTGACAGAATGGTGCAAGGAATTCAACACCGGCAGAAAACTACAGTTCCAATTTAACCATGAGCTAGAGGAACCACAGCCCTATGACTCTGGAGTGCCGCAAGGTAGCCCCATGTCCCCGGTACTATTTATGATCTATGCCGGAGTAATACTGGACCCAACTAGCAGCCCAAAAGAGATGGATACAACTTATATCGATGACGATGCGCTGGTGCAAATATCCAAAACACCAGGCTTTACAATCAAGAGAATGGAGGAACGAATGAGAGAAAGACTAATTAAAGCTGAGCCACTCCAAATCAAATACGACCCGGATAAATCAGATCTGATCTTCTTCCGGCCCACTACATCATCCACACAACAACCACGTCTTCCGGTCAAAGTCAATAACATCAACATATACCCCAAGGAGAGGCTGAAATATGTAGGAGTCTGGATAGATCCAACCCTCTCCTTCCGGCCCCACATTGAAGCAGCGATCGCAAAAGGACTTAAAGCCCTCCACCAGATTCGAAACACCGCCCGCCTGCCAGGCATAACAGTTAAAACAATTCACCACCTTATAACACAAGGCTTCCTCCCAAGTCTGTTATATGGGTCCGAGGCTTGGTGGACTGGCGCAGACCACATCATTAGATCCCTCGAACCACTATACAATGAAGCGGCCCGGGTCATCACTGGCCTACCACGATGGACCAAGAGAGCTAAACTCCTTCGAGAAGCAGGCCTACCCCCTCTAGAGCATCTCCTCACTTACCGCTCAAGGAAGTACGGAACCAGAATACTCTGCACCGATGCAACCCACCCCAACAACGAATCCCTGATCGAGCTCCTCCCATACAGAGAAGCAAATATCAAAGGGACAGGCCTACACCGAATCGCTTCCCTCCTACTCCCATATCAAACTCCCGGAAATGCGAGAGACAAGTGGAATCAAAATAAACTACTACGCGACCACCTGTTGGAAGAATGGAATACACAACCAATACCGAACTACCATCACCGGGGGGAATTCCGCCCCCCTCCTAAGATTGCAAAACTCACCCTTACGGAAGCAAAAAAAGTTTTTCGAATCCGGTGTCAAACTACCCGAATCGACAAACACGCAGTATATACAGATCCCGAACCATGCCAGTGTGGTACGGAAAACTCAGCAAAACACATACTTATGGAATGTCCAGCGTGGGCTCGACTCCGCGCCCCTCTGATAGAGAAGATCCCCGGAGCGATGACCTGGGAAAACTGGATGTTTACAAACTTGAGAACGGATCTCATCCTACAATTTGCAAAAAACTCTCAACTCTCGAAATTGTACGAGTCGGCGGAGGCGGAGGCGGACCTGGAAGAGGGGATGGAAGAAAATGACTAGGGACGGGATTAGGAAGGGTAGTTTCCTTTTTACCCTTATATTTTGGTTTTATTTTTCTGTTTTGATGGATCCAGCGCTCGAGTTCGCTGAGATATGTTATTTCTTCTTGTCGTTGGGTTTTTTGGTTGAGTGTTGTTTTGGAATTCCCTGTTATTGTTCGTGTTTGTTTGTGCTTGCTTTGTTCTTGTTTTTGTTCGTTTGCGTTTGCATTTGTTGTTGTTCTTTCTTTCTTTTGTTCGGTTCGTGTTTGGTTCGTGTTTTAGGCGGTCGGGTTGGCGTGCGATAAGTCTTGTACTTCAAAGCAATATAAGTTTCTTCTTCTTCTTCTTCTGTATTCTACTCGCTCGCCTCTGGCTCGCGATAGGATTTCTTTCCCCCCGAGATGGAGTTATACTGATTCTCGAATTGCTTCGGTCCCTGAACTTCCCTCGCTCGACACCCCCCCTTCTTTGTTCGTTCGGTGCCCTTACGGGATGCGTCCACCGTTCACCCCTCGCCAAAATAACGGCTACTCTCGAAAGCCGTCCTCGCCTCTCCTTATTTTCACTCATCGCACGATTGATCCCATACGTCGGGTACGCACACTGTCAGTAATCTCCAGTCAGCGAGAACCTACTGCCAAAGCGCTCGACAGCCCGCGAAGTTAGCGACCCTTCGGTCGCGAAACTATCGTCAAATTTTTTACCCGAGGTCCCGTGACCTTACCCCTCTCTATCGGCCTTAACCAGGCAACCCATTCTTATCCGAGGCGGCCCGCCCCCCTCACCCCAACCCAACCGGTCTCCGAGACCACCCCTCAATACAATACGGTCAGCACTTTCGATTGCGACCCCCCATACATAACTGAGTCTCAGACTCAACCCTTTTGCATGTCCCCTGCAGAGGACACCACTTCAAATACGACTCGGGCACAGTCTTTAGCCGTTGCTCCTGGGACCGACGACCCCACCCATTCTTACCTGACCTACCGGTCACCACTCCTCAATTCCTCGCTGCCTGACAACCAGATGCCCGAGGACCCACATTCAACCCACCCCCCCTCGCTTTCACACCTGACGCTGTTGCGGTTGCCCTCTCCTGCATTCGTGCGTGTGGTTTCCCAGTCCTGTTAAGGTCCGTCCACAGATATGATACCGGGAACGTTGGTAATGATACCGTTTCGGTTGAACACCATGTTTAGGATTGTGCTCGCTAATGCAGTTGACGGAGAAGTTTGGGGTTCATTCTTACTATGGGGAGGTTTCTTAGTTGTCGCTTAGATTCTGCTTACCTGTACCACATGTTATATGCGCCCTCTTCGTGCGCAGTTTTTTCTCTTAATATGTACGTAGTTCTCGTAGCTGCGGTAGTTAGTTTTTTGTACTTTGTTTTTGTCTTGGGTTAGTCGGTGGAGGTTGTAGTCGGGTAGTTAGGTGTGCGATAAGCTTCGGCTTCTATGCAATATAAAGATTCTCTCTCTCTCTCTGTATTTATTCCACGAATAGTACTTTTGTTCTACGCTACGTCATAGGGCTCGTCTTGGATCTCGGATCAGGATTGAACCACCTCATAGTCCATAGTTACGAATATCTTCTACTACGTTCTTGCCTCGGTTGTATTCCTTGGCACTATAGTCCATCGTCCATAGACCCACGTTATAGTATATAACCAAAGACAAAAAGCTTCAGATGGAAATACTGTCCGATACCTATGACTCTAACGTGGCTGGTCATTTTGGCCAATTTAAGACACTAGAGCGGGTGAAAAACAACTTCTTTTGGCCCAACATGGATAAGGATATTGAGGAATATGTCCGGAGCTGTGACAGCTGCCAGAGGAATAAGACCTCAAGACACAAGAAGTTTGGTATGCTCCAACCGTTGAAGATACCCTATCGGCCATGGACTTCCATCTCTATGGACTTCATTGTGGGATTACCGGAATCTAGTGGGTTTACAAAGATCTGGGTAATAGTGGACCATTTTTCGAAGATGGCACACTACATCCCTCTTCCTAAACTCAATAAAACGGAAGATTTGGTTAAGTTATTCTTGAAGCAAGTTTGGAGACTCCACAGTTGACCTGATGATGTAGTCTCAGACAGAGATAGCAGGTTCATCTCTCACTTTTGGCAATGTCTCATGGGCCTCCTCAATGTGAAGGTGAAGATGTCCAAATCTTTCCACCCTCAAATGGACGGTCAAAAAAAAAGAGCTAATCAGAACCTGGAACATTACTTGCGAAGTTATTGTTAATATCAACAGGATGACTGGGCAGAAGTCTTGACTTTGGCAGGGTATGCATATAACTCGGCAGTCACTGAGTCTATCAAAGTATCGGCTTTCTATGCCAACTATGGTTATGAACCCAGGACCAACTGGCCGGCCCCAAAGGAAGGAGTAGAATGGAACAATCCAGCAAGTGAGGTCATGATATCTCAATGGGAATCTATCTGGCAGGCTATGAATGCCAGCTAGGGTAAAGCTAGATGAAGGATGGTCCGGTGATATGATGCTCATGCCCTGACACCGCCCGAAATCAAGCCTAGACATCAGCAAGATTGTACATTTTAAGCAGCCTCCCAACAGTCTCCTGAGTCTCCTGAGATTCTCCTGAGACAACAAAACGGTTTTTGATTCTCTGGAGGATCAGGAGATGCTTTTCGGAAATTGTTCAGTTTGCTGATGGAGATGAAGTAATGTTGGACCGACGCAATGTGCAAACAAAGCGGCCTTTGGGAAAACTGGATCAGAAGAAGATGGGACCCTTCAAGGTCTTAGAAGCTATTGGTACCCGTGCCTACAAGCTCTCTCTTTCCCCTCAAATGGGAATCCACCCGGTCTTTCATGTCTCTCTCCTAGAACCCTATAGGGCACCGATAGATCCTGAGAGAAGAGTTCCACCACCGGAACCTGAAGAGATTGAAGGAGAACAGAAGTGGGTTGTCCGAGAGGTAGCAGATAGCCGAGTCAATAAGAAAAAGAGACGAGTGGAATACTTAGTGCTGTGGGAGGGTTATGAGAACGAGGATGCTACATGGGAAATATGGGAGCATCTCAAGAAGAGTGCCGAAGAAGCCCTTCGGGATTTCCATATGAGGTATCCTAAGAAACCCAAGGAGAAGCGGATTGTTGGGGTGTAGTTTTTACTTTAGGTTTTCATTTCCTTGTATATCACGGAGTTTCTTGTCACATAGAATAGATGCTAATAGAATGGTTATAGATCTCGGAGACCAAGATCCTGGAAGAGGGGAGTAGTGTAATGGAGCCATTTCAACTGTCTGATGTATGAGTACACACAGGGCCTGGTTACATGCTGAGAGTTATTGTTAGAAGCCAGTTGCACGGTGATATGCAAGTACCGGCAGTGTGGTTAGCTACCAGCTGTTAGAGTAACTACATTCCGGGCGCTAGGAAGGGGATCTATTCATGGGAGCAATGACTGACGAGTCTATGCCTTGCCAGTGATTAGAAGGCCAGCCAGAGTGAAGCTCTGATTGCCCGGTGATCCTCTGTATTCTCTGAGCATTGTAAGTCTGCCGATCGTGGCAGGAACTATGCCAGGGAAGTCTACAATAAGCGAAAGCTCTACAGCAATGATTAAGCATACACCTGAGCGGCTGCTCATTCCTGCAGGCCCCAGTTGTGTGGCAACCAAGGCTGCAGGTGTTACAAAGGCTTTAACTAAGGTTGGTTGCCTTCGGTATTGGAAACACCTGCTGACGCTTTGAGAAAAGTGGGGTAGCGGTGGTATTGTTTCCCAGACCTAGGAAAGGCTTCACCAGAACTTATTAAGGAGTTAGGAGCAGATAATAGAGGCCTTTGGAGTATAAGTACTCAGGTTCATTCTCGCTCTTCAGTCCTGTTCTCTCCAGTCTTCATCACAAAGGAAACCAAGTTCTTATCGGTAGCAAAGCCCTTAAAGAATATTGAGTTTCAGCGATAGTATCTTTGAATAATCTGCAACCTGATTGTCTATCTTGCCCGGCCGTCTCTATGCTATCCAATTCTATTCTCTTAGAAAGGACCCCCGTTACAAATGGAAACCAATAGAATCCAAAGGAAACCTGTATTACTAATCCTGACCCGTTGCCGAGTACTTCCTCTTTATACCCTAACACAATACCCGACTGTAATGGGAACACATCATTACGCACATTAAGATTATATTAGATATAGCTGGTGTAACGGAGCCATTTCAACTGTCTGGTGTATGAGTACACACAGGGCCCGGTTACATGCTGAGAGTTATTGTTAGAAGCCAGTTGCACGGTGATATGCAAGTACCGGCAGTGTGGTTAGCTACCAGCTGTTAGAGTAACTACATTCCGGGCGTTAGGAAGGGGATCTATTCACTGGAGCAATGACTGACGAGTCTATGCCTCGCCAGTGACTAGAAGACTGGCCAGAGTGAAGCTCTGATTGCCCGGTGATCCTCTGTATCCTCCAAAGCATTATGAGTCCACCGAAGGGCAGGGATTATGCTAGGGAAGTCAACAATAAGCGAAAGCTCTACAGCAATGATTAAGCTTACACCTGAGCGGCAACTCATTCATGCAGGCCCTCGGTCGCGTGGCAACCAAGGCTGCAGGTGTTACGAAGGCTTTGACTAAGGATGGTTGCCTTGGGTATCGGAAACACCTGCTGACGCTTAGAGAAAAGCGGGGTAGCGGTGGTATTGTTTCCGGCACCGAGGAAAGGCTCCACCGGAACTTAGTAAGGAGCTAGGGGCAGAGAATAGAGGCCTTCGGAGTATAAGTACTCAGGTTCATTCTCGCCCTTCAGTCCTGTTCTCTCCAGTCTTCATCAGAAAGAAATACCAAGTTTTTATCGGTAGCAGAGCCCTTAAAGATTATTGAGTTCTAGCGATAGTATCTTTGAATAATCTGCAACCTGATTGTCTATCTTGCACGGCCGTCTCTATTCTATCCGATTCTATTTCTCTTAGAAAGGACCCCCGTTACAGCTTACTACACTGGCGCTGATCTAACTCGGAGATATTGTCTCTTCAGAATTTCTGTACAACTTTACGGTACGAGATAGTTAGTTAGGGCTCATATGCGTGATAGTCAGGGTCCGGGTTAGGGTCAGTGTTTTTTTTCGCGCCGTAAAATTAATAGAAAAAATCTCAATATTTAATTATATTTCTCGATTTTATCTTTGGAACACGCATGTTTCATGGATCAATTAGTTAATACACTGGGTTACGAGGAGTTGGATTAGTCAGAAAGATTCTATTGAGTTCTATCGGGTTCTGTCGGTCGTAAGTGTATGAGTCACTTTGGATTTGTCATTGCTGGGATTTCCTTGGGTATATTAGGAGGTTTCGCCCTCGTTTCTGTTCTTTTTCTCCTCTTTCTTTTGATATGCAACGTCTTCTGTACCTATGCTGTCTATTACTATATAATATTATTTCCTATTCTTTACACAAGAAGACCACCGTGCCACTGCTTTCCTTGTCCCGTTGACCCTTACCAACGCTAGAGTCCCTCAGAACCCATATTGCAGGCTCCCACATCGATCTCTACTACCCCCTTCGTACCCTGTAGAATACTTGCTACTCATCCCCTTGAGAGCATGGACGAGGTATTGTTGGCCGTGGAGTGGTAGCTACTATGTGTGCTGGTGGGATTTAAGGTGGTCGATGAGCCGGCTGGAGACGAGCAGGAGGAAAAGCTTGACTTGACTTGTGATAGCAGCTGCTTGACTTGTCTCGAGTTGTAAATGCTCGAGTTGCTCGAGCTGAACTCGAGCTTTTTAGTGGCTCTAGATAGGAGTTATAGAAGTCATTCTAGCTCTCTTTGTGTAAACATCTATCATTAGGATTAGGGTTGAGTCCTTCAATATTTTTTAAATCAAATAGCGGAAGGATAATATGGGCATATCTAGTATTATTTTCAGTTGGAAATATTCAGAGTGATAACACTCAAAAGATACAAACTTTTCAACTAGAGCAACAAAAAAAGCTTGAGCCAACTTGACTCGTGAGGATAGCTGCTCGTGGTTGCTGGAGCTTTCCGCTCGAGTCGAGGACTTGAGCTAACTTGTCTCGTAGACCACAATAGTGGGATGGGCATGATATCGCGTGAGAATTGAACAAGAGTCTATTTATCATCTCCGAGAGGAGGTCTCTGCAAGGTATACATTATACCAGCTGTACAGGCTACAGATCTCCTCTTCTTTGTCCCAAGTTAGTAGCTCTGCGCTGGAGATCGGACAGTCCTATGCCGGAAGCACCTGTGGTATTGAAGCTGTAGCATAAGAGTTGGATTTAACTAACTTTACTCAGACAGCGTAAAGAATGAGCTAGTGACAGCCTAGGTTACTTTATAGGGATGCAGACATCAACCTCTCTTTAACAGCAAGGGAAGCTTTCAATCATGGTTCGGTGTACCAGCGGTTAGTTCAGTGTTGGTCAGATGTGGGCGGGGGTTCTGGAATTTTGATAGAGTTGAGTGGATATGCAGATGGAGAATTTGGGGATGTATATATAAAGCAGTGGAGGAAGGTTGATATGAGTAAGGTCGGTGATTGAAAATGAAGCGACAAGTTGTGTGGGTACTATGTACTATGTAATCGGCGACCGCTTGAATCTCAATCACAGATTATCACTCGCACCAAACTGCCCGCGAAAAAAACGTCTGCTCTACTTATGTAGCTTTTCGTTGCTGTAATCACGCGCTCCATAAAGTGTTATATCTGTTAAATATAGAGGAATCTCGGGAGCTACCTAATTCCAATCCATTAAGAGATCGTGATATTGTCATAGACTACGGTCTGTATATAATTAATGAATTAAACAAAACAAAACAAAACAAAAATCCATTAAGAGATCCTTGGACGTGATTACATGGCACGCCATGATGGCCTTATTTTATAGGAGTCAGGACAGCTTGCATCGCCAGCCAATTCCTGGAGATTTCCATCAGTCTGCATTTGATTCTATTTGAATTAATCTCTCGCGCATCTCGATATGCTACGGCGTTATTGTCAAGTAGGTAGCTGGTCGATAGATGTCACGAAGACTTTCGACGACTTTTCGATTTTGTGATGGATGATATTTTTATATTTTATCCTAATGCTTTCTTTTTATAATAATGAAAAACAAAGGAAATTAATGACTGCACTCTGTGGCCTCTTCTTTATTGGCCTCTAGAGAGAGTTCTAAACAAAAGAAGAACGAATTTTCCTAAAAGATAAAGAAAGAATAAAGAAAGAAATAAAAAAAACTTCCCAAAGAAGAAAGAAAAGAAAAAGGAAAGACTGAGGAGTCGTCTTTTACCGACGGGAACCCTGTTCCAGCAGTTATTATCTTTCACCAGCCAAAAGGTTAGTACGCTAATTTAAGGGATACTTGTATATTCGACTACAGTCGCACCTCGCTATCTCGTAATTCGATATCTCGGAGCTCTTGCTGTCTCGTACGGATTTGCGAGACAGGTACTGCCCTTCTCCACCAAAAACTATTTGCTGTCTCGTATATTTGCTATCTCGTAGGGGTTTGGCTCCCAGAAAAAGCTAACGACATAACGAGGTTCGACTGTACATATACGTATATTGGACCAAGTGTCTCGCGGCCTACAGACTCTCTTTGAGGGGCGAGTCATCCTATACCCTGTGCTACCCCGGGCCTATCAATCTAGCACAAACCGGGCTTGCTGCTGAATACACCGAGTCATAACACATGACTTAGCTTAGACCGGGGTCCTGGGCTGAATGGCAGCTCGCGTATGGGAAACCTGTGTTGGAGTGACGGTCATTAGCGTCCAGTGGAGGAAGTATCAAAGGGGGCTCTCTGTGACCGTTGCTGACCTGTACCCGCACCCACTGTCTTTTCCTTTCTTCTTCTTTTCCTTCTCGAGTCATGAATCATCACTGTACTTTTATCAATCAATCAAGTCTTTCATCACGAAACCATCTCAACAACCCGAGGATGGAATGAAGTTTGAATATAGACACTAGCACTAGTATCGTGGACCTCATTTGGGCTTTTGCCTCGTTTAAGGTCAGACCTATCTTCTTAAAATCCGAAGTGGCTCAAGCTTTGAATTAAATCTATCTAACTACCTCCGAGCTGATAATGGTGTGTTAGTACAAGCAAATATTTAGTGGAATGTGAGAAAGAGATAATAGGTATACCTTATAAGTGAATCACTTGATCCCTCTCTAACCCTTATCTAGCTCCTAGCTTTGTTAAATACTGGCCCGCTCGAAAAGAAAATTTGGGGTGACTTTGCTAACAGATCTTGTTGCCTCTCCTATCAAATGATACTCTATGCATGATCCCACAAGCCGTCAGCCACTGACCCCTATCCCCCGGGTATTATGTAGCGAAGGTGGTACCAGTAAGGGTTAGGGTTAAGCCGTGCATAAGCGTCCATAAGCGAGGTTTACAATTTGAGAGGGTTAAAGGGGTCAATGACTTTGAATGTTTGTATGTTGCGTGCATGTATATATATTAATAGAAGACGGGCAATCCAACCATTTACAATCCGTAGTATTCCATTCATTTTCTAAAATGAGACCCGAGACATTGCAACGATGATCGATCTAGATCTGAATCATTGGTTGACCTAGCTCCGCCACGACAGCTGCAGGAGGACAGGTTGCTGCCAGCCCCTAAATCTACCCCCCCGCTCGCTCTGAATACATACTACATACCAAGTAAGTGCAATATCATCACAAGTACATACAAGCAATGTCTGTGCCCTTCACGTTTCCTTCTTCCTGGGTCCCCGACATCCCGAGCCATCCAGGTTCAAAAGTTGCATGCAAGCTTCGATTCATCGACTATATTGAGCGGCAAAGACCTAGCCTTCGCAAGTTCTATAATGACGAATCACTCGACGAACCGGCTGGCCGCGCCGCTAGAATGATCTGTGCCCTGTGTGTCAAAGGATGTAGATTAGAAACGGCGGTACAACTATCGCTTCTTGCGTTATATGACCTGAGGCTGCTGATTGATTGGTACCAGGAAAAACGTAATATATCGCACCTTTGCTCGCCCCCGCCGTTTGATGTATCGCTAACCTTCGCATAGCGGGTCCCGGCATTGGGGGGCCAATGTTTCCTCACATTGACTCTCTCTATATTAGGTTCATTATCGAGAGCGTGTCAGAAATCTACGACGACGCCAGCCTAAAGGGAGTTTCCTCAGTCCAATTTGTTGGCCATTCCCCGGAATATCAGAATGTGACAGGGGGCGAGATAGTTGATCTGCTTAGGGACGTAAACTCAAAGCTTATTGGACCTATTGAGGGCGCGGGTGAGAAGTTAGTAGAAGCAGTGGGACTGGATAGGGGGAGTTCAGGTTTGGTCGATAGGCCACTACTCATACTGGTACTGTGTCGTACGGAAGTAAGTGCCTCCTATGGGATATTGTTCACAGCCCGCAGTGCTCTTCATGGAGCGCTAATATAATCGAGCCATAAAACCAGATCGAAGACGAGGAAGATAAGGCCTTTCATTGGCCGCGTATCAGAAGCGCCCTGCGAGCACAGAAACGAGGTGGTGGTCGGTATCTCTTCTCAACACATCCTGATATATATAGTACAACTGCTACAATTATTGCTATAATACTTAATCATCGAACGTCTTCTGATCAAGAAATAAAAATTCTCAAGTACAGAGGTTACAATAAGTCTTCCAAGTGTGCCCAACTTGGAGGCTAGGAGTCTACGAACATTCAGTGACGAGTCAGAGGAAAGTTGTCAGATTGTCCTCTGTATGTAAATCTCGCCGGCATCTTAGCCTCTCCACGAATCTAACTCCCCAGGTGGGCTAGGAAGGTTTTTATCTCAGCGGCAGAGGTGGGAAGAGGTATGACAAAGCTATTCTCCGGGAAATCATGGACTCATGTACAGCAATACTCTCAGATCCGGTATCTACTTCTCGGATATCTACCGGAGCCTCATTTATTCACGGACATGGATATTCCGGTTCTTGAGGAGTATATCAGAGTCCGTACACACCTAGGCCTGGGATTCGATGAAATGGAGAGAGACAATCCATCTACTGCTGAAACTGTTAGTACCAAAGGGACATCTCCAAACCAAGTAATGTTGTCCGCCATTCGCTGTCGTCGTGAAGTACTGCTATGCGGTGTTGATATAACGTAGTTAACCATAGATACGCAAAAACTGGACATAATGACGCAGATCGAAATCCTAGGACTATTACCATCGAAGGCTATAGAAGAGAAAAATGCCTTATTTGATGCCTTATTTGATTGCGATGTAGGCGCAGTCGTCCAGCCCCCGCCGACTGACCACGAAACCTCTTATCTCCGCCACCTACGTAATGCTTCACCGTTTACCCAGCATGACATGTTCATGTTGGAAACAATATTCGATGATGATACTTCATCAGTTTTACATCGGCCGCAAGAGAACCTTCATCTGCACAGGGTTTGCGAGGTCTCAGTCAACAGGCGGTGGTTCGATGAGAGAGATATCGGGAGTGGTGCTTTTGGCACCGTTAAATTACAGGTTCTTTCTCTAATATTATCTTCATATTCTTGTTCAGGCATTGATTTTATTGATTCAGGTCAGCTCTGACGGACACACACGTGCGGTGAAACGTATTCACAGACCAGATTCCAAAGAGAGGGAGGTGAAGGCTCTGGCCAAGGTTGCCGATGTATGCTCCAGCTCCGACGAGTTTAATAAAACAAGACGGATTCTTATATAATTGTTTGCAATATAGAGGGACGATCTATTTGTGAGATTTCTTGGATGGTACAGGGATAAGCATTCCTGCCTTTACATCACAATGGAATATCTCGAGCACGGAGATCTTAGCATATACCTCAAAACGCATGGCCGCGTTCCTGAAGGGACGATTCTTAACATCATCACACAGGTACTTCATGGGCTTGTAGTTCTACATGAGCGCAATATCTGTCACAGGGATCTAAAGCCCCAGGTAAGCTGACGCTTTCGATCATTCCTACCTACACCCATTAAATCCCACTCCGATTTATCCAAGACGGCTAAGATAAATAAACCTAGAACATCCTTATCGCCTCGCCTCGCCCACTCCGAGTTAAGATTGGGGACTTCGGCACGTCGAAGTATATCAAGGAAACAGAACTCAGAACAAGAGTTGGGACAGTGGAATATACAGCGCCTGAAGTCCTGGGCCTGTGGACGTCAAAAACCAAGAGGAACCGTTTTCCGTACGCCTTGGATATATGGTCAATGGGATGTATCTTTTACGAGATGATTACTTCTAAAAGACCATTCACCTTGGTTCATTTGACCTCCACTGCGATATCAACCTCTATTGTGGAGACTGAGACTGGGCTCGAAACAGGTGTAGAGGTTGGAGAGGAGATGGACATGCAACTCTTTCTGAAGTTTTGTTCAGGTGCTATACCTCTTCCGTTGGAGGAATTCGAATGTCTTGGGGCGAGTAAGGAGGCAGGGTTATTTGTAAAAGCAGTTTTACAAGCAGACCCGTCGATGAGACCTTCAGCCTTGGAATGTCTTGAAGAGGCTAAACGTATGGTTGATATATAAAAGAACTTGTCGGCACCGGAAACCGTAATATGGGAGATCTAGATATTTGAGGTTTCCGGAACTGCGATAACATGGCTGGTATTCAACTCAAGCTCAGAACCGTACATGTAGGAAATATTTGTATTTTTGATCTGTTTTTTATGTAACTTTTCATAAGGATGTAACTTGTATGGCTAGAGTCCCTATATACCTTTACTAAAGCCTGTGCTGGACCTATCTCGCACTCCGTATTTGGCGAGATATACTTTTCTATTAACCGGTGGTAGCAGCAAACATATCCATAGATGATTGAGATAGGGGATAGAATATATTGCTCTCTAATGAGCCCGCAAAAGAATCAGCAAAGTCGTGGGCAAATGCATCGTGGTAAAGGTGTATCGGGAGGGTCGTTTCTCGGTGTATCCCTTAGGCGGTCAGGCCCAATCGCAATGTGTAATTACCGAATCTGATATGGTTAAGGTGCTCTGTTGAACTCTGTTACTGTTCGTTCTATCATTGTGGTGATAGAGCTCTCTAGTCTCTAGCTAGCGTATTGTAATAGACTCGAGGAGATAGTGAACACTGAGAGCGTTTACCAGAGAAAATTAACCATACCAAGTTCGGAACACATTGCGATTAATTCGGCCTGACCGCCTAAGGGATAGTTTCTTGGACGTAAACCAAAATTGGTCAAGGTCCACTACCTCCATAACATTCCGTTCCTATTCAAACACCATGAAAGTCTCAGGATAGAAAAATACACTATAGAAGAGAATAAAATGTTGAACTAGCTATAACTCTGTTCATAAAATATAGCCCATAGACTTGCAGGGCAAGGGCAAGGGACCAGGCGTGCAGCCGGAGAAATTGATAAGGTGTTTTCACATGTTACTATTTCTTACTTTCATAGGTTACGGTGCTCTTTATTTGTTACAGGCTACTGGCCCATTGTTTTGCGATTATTTCTTTAATTTCCTTTGTGTGCATGTGTGAGAGGCGGAGGAAGTGATTAGGAAGTTCTGGGGTAGTGTGATATTGTCATAGACTACGGTCTCATCGCCTGGGTGAATTTAGCGAGTGAGACGTAATGATCGAGTGAGAGATGGTGAGCGAGCGAGGTGCTATGAGCGGGTGATAGCCAGTGAGCGAGTGAGAGCATATGCCGCAACGTCTCCAATTGCAAGGTTCGCGTTGCGGAGTTGAATACGTAATAACCGTAGTTGGAGGCTCCTCCATGGGTGCCCGCGGGTGCCAAGGATTCTACCTCACCCGGCTCGACCCATGGCTTGTTTGCCCTCACAAACACGCCTCTTAGGGGGGTGAATATCCAAAGGTGTTCTATTCCAGTCAAGTTTGTATACTGGGGATTTCGAGATTTATAAATGTCTTTTTGATCAAGAAGTGCAAACCTCCTACCCATTAAACAGCCAGACAAATCCGGCTCAAAATATAGGCCAAATTAAACCCGGCCCGGTCGGTTGAAAAGGAGGCCATATTCAACCCTTACCCGCCGGGTTCTACGCGGATGGAAGGTGGCGTGGGTATAAAAAAGTATATGACATGTCCGGGTAGTTCGATTGTATTACCCCGAACGAAGTGCCACTCCCTCAGCCTAGCTCTGCCTCAGGCTGAGTCGGAATCGGAGTCGGAGTCGGAAATGGTACCCCAGAAGGTCCAGGGCGCCATGCAAACAAATATTCATCTACTCCTGTGGCGCCAACTAATTATTCTAGCTATTGTGCTAGTACGAGACAGGTTCTCGGGAGTGTAGAAAGGATTGATAATATATACGGTGAGCATTGAGCTAAGCTTTAGCCACGGGTTTGTCGCTGGAGAATACCATCTCTCAAGTCGCTTGGCACCCGTACCGGTAATGAGTATATTCTTTCCCTGCTTGTTAGGATTGATATATAGTCCCACGGGAGGTGGCAGAGACTTGCTATCCTCGTGATTACTCTGACATGTTTCTCCATATATACCGCCGTTTATCTCCTGTCGGAGCTCGATTGCGGCTTTGTGTGCTTCCTCTGAAACCTCAACACCGGCCTTGGGGCTCTCTACGGTCGCTGCGGCGAGTTTCCTTGCGGTAGTGATGGACCCTTTGTTGAAGGTGACCGGTTCGCCGACGGTTGGGCGAGTTTCCCAACGATCGATCTTGCCACTAATCCAAAGTTGTACCAACGGCCTTCTGAGTTTCCCCGGCTGCCGGGGGGTTACGTTATAGCGGTAGCCCTACTTATGATCAACAGCTCTACTTTTATTCCGTGGTTAAAATTATACTCCGGATTGCAAAGGTTGAGGGTTGTTTCGTGAACACACTCAGTTCACAAGCCGATATTCCACCAAGAGAAGACTGGTGATTGCCAGTCACGATCGATTGGCTCTAAATTTCGATTAAACACACTTGCTTATAAAACTATGTTCTATTCCCTAAATATTACGTGTCCATAGAAATATGAGCATATTTTTGTTCCGGAGGTCAATCTTCAGACGATAACAATATCTTCACAGGAAAACGTATTTCTTCCCCGGCGAGCGTAGAAGCTAAGTAAGTTTGTAGGTATGATTATTGGGCGTGTTGGTAAAATAGCATATCATTAAGTGCCTTTGGCTTTTCGTTAAATATTAGCTTAATGGCTGTCACAGGCCTGGTGTCACGCACTGATCAGAAGAGGTCGATTCCAACTATGATGGCGGCGCGAATCCCATTACATGAAACACAGTTGCTGCACGATGAAGAACGTAGGTAGCTCAGTGACCGGAATCGGGTACATAGTACCTATGGTATATGGGGTGAAGTGATTATCGGCCGCGGGACTTGGAGCGCGGGGGTCCTACTCCTTACTTGACGCTTGTCATTGAGTGTGTAGCGTATTGACCAAGTGATGTTACCTCCTAATATTATGTAAAGGGGGTGGCCAATAGAGCCCATTGTTCTGTCGCGCTGAGGTGTAGATGTTCACACGGGATCTCCACCTTGGATTCTTTCCGGTGTTTCGGTTATGTAGGTAACCGAATTGCAATATGGTAGCAGCCTAGAGCTGCACATGAATTATATAGCTTTAGCTGATGACCCAGGGCGGTAGCGGGAGTGATCTGCGATGGGGATCGGCACGGTTCTCTAAGTATTCAGGGGCTCTTCCAGTTATTGCAGTGCGATATACGTCGGATTGGCAGTACGAGCCGGTTTGGGGGGGGGGGGGGGGGGAAGCGGTAAGGAGATACCGGGTACGGTTTCAGTCCACCCCTAAGCCGATGGAAACTGAATTGTCGAGGACGGTTCTACCAGTACTTGAACCAAATAATTATACAAGTCGTACAGTGAATTTTGGTTTAGACTGTGCATATATGTGCCATATCAGCTTAGGGTGGCGCTCTCATCTCCACATGTTGACCACAGCCAGAATCATAAAGTGCCCTCGTAACATTCTGCAAGATGCAAGTACATACGTTTATTTACCCAACGTCTCCACCTCATCGCCTAGAGCTCTCGGTCGTGCGGCCTAGTGATGGGCACAAGACGAAAAGTCCCGATATATACTTTGTCCCGAGATACGAGACAAAACAAAACAAAACAGAAAATGTCTAGTCCCGAGACTTTTCGAAACTTGCGAGTGATCGTTTATGATCTCCGTACCAGCTTTAAAATCTAGTTTTGATGGCTTCCCCTAAAAACCCTCGTGCAAAAGAAATATCATTGTGAGGTAAACTGACACGAAGCTCGACTAGTTGACCCTAACCTAAGTGATCTCGAGACTTTGCAGAGTACATGGCTCAAATATTGTTAATTCCGAGACCACCTTCAAAATCCACGAGAAAAGACAAAAGTTGCCCAAGTATCGTCTTGCGTTGTATTGTGCCCATCACCAGTCGTGTCGCCTCGATCGAGTGCTTAATTTTATCCCTTGCACTGATGAGGTTTGTCGGGTACCACTAGCCTAGTGCTAGTGTGACAATTGTTGGAAATTCTTGATTGACTCTGCTAGTACTAAAAAGCAAGATGATTTACTTGCTAAGTGGTGCATGGTCCAGGTCGCGAATTCGACAACTTTCATCCGGCCAAGGGATAGAAATAACACCTGACTGTGGCGGACGGGAATAGGTGGTATGGGCAGTTGTTAATTAGTCAAACGAGGGGATCAGTGTACCAGGGCATGCACGGGTTGCAATATGATCAACACCCGATAGGGCGGACGGCTGGCAAATCAATCTTCGCGAATGGACGAGAGAGCATGGGAGTTTTGAGTGTGTAGCCTCGATAAAGAGCGTGTCAAGCAGTCATGTGGAGCTAGGCTATTATCACGGTAGTGAGAGGTGGCCTTGGAACAAAAGTGCAGTATAGTGTATATATATATATATATGTTCCAAGGTAAAAAAAACATCCTCGAGTCTAGCTGGTTGATTGTCGAGAAGAGTCAATCTCCTGATCCACAGCCACCTGGATCCGGCATGAAGCAAGATATCACTTTACCAGAGGAATCGAAACATCTAGGAGATGAACGAATCATTTTATATAGCCAAGAAAACATTGAAAGGAAGGTATAAAAAGCACCAACATCGATATCATGCAGCAGACCGCCCATACGCATCTAAACAGGGTTTATCATATATAGCCACCGCCGCCACCACCACCACCACCACCACCCCCAACATGCACCATCACACCGCCCCCCCCCCTCTCTCTCCCCACCACATGAGCAGAGCCACTCACCACTCACCACTCACCACTCACCACTCACCACTCACCACTCACCACTCACCACTCACCACCTAGCTCCGACTCCACCCCGCCCCAGTGCCCGCCGTCACATTGCTCACCTCATGAACTTGAAACGCCGGCAGCCACACGCTCAACGCCTTGTTCCACAGATCAAAGGCCGGCTTCCCAGATCGATTCCACCCCCCGCCAAGGTCCGGGCAATGCGCCCCCCCCTCAATCACCATCGCAAATACGCCACCCTTCAACACCTCTCCCGCCGCCGGCACCTCCTCCGTCCTCCTCCGGCCATGGGCCTCGGGGGCCTGGCTGTTGACCGTCGCGGGGCGCCACGGATCGTACTGCCCGTCGACGAAGAACGTGTTGCTGCTCTGCATGGCCCAGCCGCCGTACCGCTCGTTGTTGTCGCTCCCGGGCATGGCGGTGAGGTTGAAGTTGCCCTTGCACCGGTGATCGTAGAGGGCCTCGAGGCCGATGAACCTGTGCGGGTACAGCCCGCCGCCGGTCTCGGGGACGGTGACCGTGTTGGCAAAGTCGGTGCACACCTGGTAGGTCCAGCTGATGGAGTTGCTGTCCAGGAACTGCATGCACTCCTCCGCATTCTCCGCGCAGGTACTGACAGTCTCCCCGCCGCCGCCGCCGCCGCCGCCGCCGCCGGTCGAGTTCGTGACCTGGCGCTTGAACATATTAATATTTATATGAGTAAGGTCCCGCTTCGAGACGGTCGAGCCGGCCGTAAGATCAAGCCGGCGCTTCAGCACTAGGCCGGCGGCCGAGACATACGGCGCGACTGCCTCCGCCTCCGACAGCGCACTGTCGAACACGCCCCCCTCCGCGCCGGCGTCGGCACTCAGCTGCGCCATCAGCCCGCAAAAGTCCGCCAGATCCCCCCGCCCGCCGGTGCCGTTCTGGAACGCATAGTCCTGGTACTCCGTGAGCGGTATGCCCAGCGCCCCGGTCACATAGTCGGTCAGAGGGGCGCTGATACTCGACGGGTCAAAGAACTCCGTCGCCGCCTCGCTCGTGTTGCTCAGGGCCACCAGCCAATCGATGACCGCCGCATCGTCGGCCCTCTCGACCCACGCCGCCATCGCCACCATGTCGTCCGCACACGCCCCATACCCGTGCTCTCTCAGCCCGTTCAGTATCGCTTGATAGTAATATTGGTTCTCCGGCGCTTCGTGCACGACCGCGCTGCTGGCGAGCGCCGCGTACCAGATCTCCGGGTTGCGCTTCCGCGCCCACGCCGCCCTCGCACCCGGGTAGCTCCCGCCCACAAACACCCACGGGACAAGCCCGGGCGAGACGGTGGCGCTCCCCCATGTGAAGGTGCGTGCAAACACGGCAACATCTTCCAGCGCCTGCTCGATGGTGTGGAACTTGTAGTAGGCGTTGAGGTCGTCGGGGAGGACAGTAGCCGGGAGTGCGGGGAGGGAGCGGCCATAGTAGCGGTGCTCCCAGAGTATGAGGAGGCCGGAGTTGGCGCGTGCTTGTGCGGTTTGGTGTGATAGGTTGAGGTAGGGGAGGACGGTGTCCGCATCAACTTCACCAACGTCGAATACTGAGAGATCCGTATGTAAGTATCTGTTATGAGTGGGCCCAGGACAGAAGAGCTGGAAGACATACGCATAATCGGCCCGCCCTCAACCCAGTAACTGTCATCAACCCAATACCTATTCTCGAATATCTCCGTCGTTGTGCCGTTATGATCCACTGGCAACGTGGCAGTGAACGCGGTGATATTGGTATTGCTCACCGTCGAGTTGTCCACAGCATTGGTCTGGGTGCTTTGCGGTCTTCGGAACTGCCGTCGTACCTGTGCTTGCACTGTGAGCGCCAGGAAGAGAAGAGGAAAGAGGTACAACATTCTGTGTATGATGTGATGGTAGAGCGGTGAAGTGGCCATTATGTCGGCGGGGTGAGGGCGAGTATTTATCGTATTTCCATTGCGAGATTGATATTGACCATGCAAGCCAATTTGTCGGGAACACACATACTCTCTGATCCAAGTTCATCCGCAACCACGCTTCCAGCCCTGTATCGTACCACAGCAAAGAACACAGCTGTGAACATATCCGAGCTTACTGTGCCGAAGGTAATCACACTTACATGTGTGGCCTGAGGACACAGATATCTTGGTACCCGTTGGCAAGGGCCCGGGTAAAGCGATCAAGATCTCTAGTTATCGGTGCACGGGTTTGCTTCAGCTCGGGAGAAGATCTAAATCCTGGCTGGATGTAGTTGTTACTATTCGTCGAGGGCTACAACGTGGCCTGGTGTATCGATCTTGCACCTAGAAAGTGCAAGCGGCTGAGAGGAATTTGACTTTAGGTAGCAGCACTGCCCGAGTGGAATATTTCGAGCCAAGTTCAGCTCAAGCGTGAGGAATCTTGCTACTGTCTTGTTGGCAAAGTACCTTAGGGTCCAGTGCCCACGATCACAATCTATTCGAGGAGATACGTTTTTAAGTTCATAGTGGCCATGATCACTAATAATTGAATTGTACTAATCAGAGCATTGCCGGAAACCCCGAGCACACAAGTCAATTGATAATCTTCATTCGATTAAGAGTCATTAACTCCCGTGGGTGACCAGTGGGTGTCAAGCCCCCAATGGTTTGCGTGAAATCCTGCCAATCGATCATTGGCCCTATCCCCAAACGACTTGCCAAGGCTCCTGCTACTAGTAAGGTTAGCCGCCTTCCAAGAATAGCGGCACTTTCAGTTGGGCTAAGCAGGCACTCCCGTCTAATTATATGGGTGCAGTTTATCCCATAAGCTCGATTGTTGAGCCAAAAACTCCCATTGGTCGCAAGTGTGGGTTGAGGCTCTCTGTGGAGTATCATGCCTAAGCGCTTGGCAGTGCCTCGATTTATATCACCACAGTGGAGGGTGGATTTCAATCCATGCCAGGTGAATATTAGAAGTCCGGGCATGGAAACTAATTATTTGAACATTCGGCATCGGCCCTCACGCAAAAGGTTCAACTTTCCGGCAAGATCGAGGGAGAGCCAGCCACATAAAGATGCCATCCAAGCCATGCTGTATACCTTGCACAGCGATGTTGAAGGGGTCCTCAGCTTGGGATCTCTCACCTTTCCCAATTGTCAGATTAGTTGTCAAAAAGAATATCTGCCCGGCCGAGGTTTGCAGCCGGAATGCAGATATGGCGGCACGCTCTACGATTCAATGCTTGGTATCCGTGTGTGTTGATGACGCCGAGGATGGGTCTATCCGTAAGCAAGCGGAATTCAGGGCGACTCCTCTGGTACATTGTGTTTTTCGCACTTTTGGGAGAGTATAAATGGGAATAGTGCGATTCGTACAGCTGAGAAGAGCTGGTATTGTTGTCGGCTGGGTATAAATCCCAAAATAGGGACATGCCCAACAAGAAGACTTCACATAGGCGATAGAGCGTTTCCTGGTATTTCACGGGGAGTGAATCGACTGACATAAACTCCCTATGCTCCCGAGAGGTGGTCTACTTCATAGCGTGACGCGGCCCAAGGAGCCACCTCACGATACAAAATTTGTATTAGAAAGCGGGTAGGGGACACTATTCATAACAGTCTATAGTGATGCTGACTAATAACAGGAGTGCGATCTTTGAAATCATCAGTTTGTTAGAATCCTGTGCTAGAATACTAGTGTACTGACTCAAACATGTGCAATTGATAGATAACCTCTTGGAAGATGTTCAATACACCTACGTTGATATTGATGAATGAAAACGTCATACTTGCAAGTATCTGCGGGGCCGAATGAGTTGCGAAATGCATGTAATCAATCCATGTGACAATAGCCGCTTTCTAATCAGTTTAGTGTTTTATTATATGTTCTTACCACATACATGCACTATGCACTGTAAAAAAAGCTTATTTGCACTTTGGTATCCTGAGGCTGCCATGCCATATATACCCGAGCCACTCTCCGTCGTATTCATAAAGGCACAACACATAGAAATAGAAACATAACCACGTGCAAAATCCCCAGCCAACCAACAAGTGTGCCATTGAATAAACAAGCCTTTTTTTTTGCTAAACGTTACTCAGTCTCGTTGCTACATCTACAAACCCTATAATTTACAGCGTGCCCAGTCGCTTGATATCTCACAGTAAACGTTACCGCTCCATCTGGAAGGTGGTTCCGCACCCCCGAGGGCGAAGGGATTTGTTGCTGTCAGCCACTAACGATCCACTTCGTTACTACATATCACCGTTCACATTTTCATTCACTGCGGGCACACTCGCTGCATTTTAACCCCGGCGATATCACGATCCGCGTATGGCTATGTATGATATTGCGATCTGGGTATAGCTAGGTACCGCCAATTCTCGATAGAAGAGCCCGGGTTCAAAAATCAAATTTAAGTCATCTGATTGGTTGTTCTGCGCTTTGCCACAACTTATCGCTCTCTACTTTTGCATTAAACCCGGGCTCTTATTTCGAGACTTAGCGGTATGTACATACTCTAAAGAAACTGGTACAGATTCTGGTAGAATTAATGCGAAAGTGGGTTTTCCGTGACCCGATAGTCCCATTGGCCCTCAAAGGAATTTTTGCAGTGAGCACGGGCCAAGAAACACACCCTTTTAGTTCTGACTTTCGCAATAATTCTACCGGATACTGTAAACAAATAAACAGTTCAAGATCAACGCAAACTCGGTGTTTTGCTCCTGTCTATTGTAGACCACATGGGATGTGGGATCTGCACGCCAAGCCCCCGGCGATGATGACAACCAGTGTGCAGCCCGCTGTGCACGCAATCACGATATTTAAAAACAGTTATGGGACGATCCTAGAAATAGGAAGGTCGCTTTGAATCTTGATCATGTAGAGTAGAGGGTCACGGCCGCGGCGTCAGCTGTTTTCAACTTTTTGTTATCATATCTAACCTTTGTGGTAGTACCTAGTAGATGCTGATACACTGCCAAGTCCGGATCCTGGAAACCGCCAGTGGGGTTAGGGTGCCATACCTCATTGCAATCTAACGGAAACAAGATAGAGAAGGTGTGTTTAGCTGCCAATGTTCCTGCAATGTCCCATGGTTTCCTGAAACACATCGTCAACCTCAAATAAAGAACATCAATAGGTGAATTACAATATTCTATTGAAATCAGGTTAGAGTCGTAGTGATTGAGGGCCATGAAAATGGTGGTAGACATGTTGGTTACTTTGGGTGTGAATCTAGTGGTGGTGAGCGTCATTTGAAACTCACAAGCAGGCTATTATTGGGGTTCTAATAGGATGACAAATAGCATACAAAGCGGTTGCTACCAACAGAAAGCATCTCACATATTGTGCCAAGATGGCCGAATAACGTGATATTCATTGCAACAGGACGCGCGGCCTAAGTCTTCTACCTACATCGCTATTGGCTGGTGGGCCGAAACATGCTCAGAATCTGGTGCTCTGCATATTGTACAAACCCGGGGCTTGCTTGCCATATAGGGTAGTGATACAGTTGAGATTTCAACAAGAAACTCCCACAAACAGTAACTTTTGGCCCAAATTTGCCAAGGCTGCAGAGCACCAGATTCTGAGCATGTTTCGGCCCACCAGGCGATAGCCGAGCTTATGTAAGCAATCCCGGCGCCCTTATACAGGAGCTGCGTTGCGATTAGCAACGCCCTGAAGCTCAATTCTTATCATAGTGAAGTCACGGTTCATAGGTACTCCTACTCTGCAAGAGCTCGAAGTCGGGCCCTCCAGCTGCTGCGCAGCTTTTGAATCCTCCTTTCCCGCACCCGTACCCTCCTTTAGCTTCAATTTCGCCGTAACTCCTGCAAAGTAAACGTCTTCCTTTCCTTAATTTCGAAAGGCAATCGACGAAATTAGAAATGTCAAGACAGTAAAATTCTTTATTTGACATAGCGAAATCTAATAAGTATATAGATATACCGATATGCAATGTGTTATTTAAAGGTTTTGATTGGCCAGGTTTGGGGGTTTTCTTTTTCTCTATCAAATATGTTTGTCAGTAAGTAGATATTCTATCAAATATGTTGGAGTTAGTAGATATTCTATCAAATATGTTTGAGTCAGCCAGTAGATATTGGTTCCAACATACCTTGAGTCAACCAAATAGTATATCAGATATGTGCACAGGGCATCTTGGGGTTTCAGTGATCTTAAGCATTGGTAAACTGGTATTGTTTAAGCCATAACAGTTCCTACTCCGGCCAAAGGCCGGAAAATGCTTGTATATATATGCTTTGTTAGGTTATATTCTTCATGTGAAGTCGTCTAGATATCTCCCGAATTGGGAATGGATAATGGTCGAGCTTCTAGAGTATATTTAAGTTTGAGCTACTCAGCACGATGATGACAAGGATAACTAAGCAAATGCTGAGCGACTCTGCCCGCTTAACCTCGAAGTAAACTTCAGGGCATACATGTAGCTATCCCCATGTGGTATACGTGATTCCTGATGGAATACCTACGGTAGAGAAACTCTTGTCCTTTCCTTTCATGCAACGAACCCGTCATACAGCGGATATGCCATGTAGCGGACCTCTTCGATAGATTATTCGATCCCTTTATCTCCTTTGTCCGCATTTTCGATTTAGTCTCATGTCTTCGTCCTGTTCAGCTTAACTATTAGCAGCGTACTTTCAATCAAGCAATATCATTACTATCAATTCCTACACCGTATTTAGGTTTATTAGCTGAAATTTCAAATGCATTCATATGAGGAAGAAAAGTTTGCAGAAGATAAAGAATGCTTTGGAGGAAAGTACCCTCGGGGCCTTTGGAAATCCGAGAGCTGCGCGTACACCAACATAACCCTCGTGGGTGGGGGGGATCTTTCGAAGCTGGCGGTCGCCATGTCCTTGGGCTATTCCTGGGTAAGGGCCGTCTATCCATGGACCACTGGCAATGCCGACTTTCATATAGATCATGGTACCCTTGTATTGTAGGATTTGGGGAGTAATGGATCACATCAGCTATATTTAAGTCGGCATCTCCAGCAGATAGGGCTTACACATTGCTAGGCACACGTACTCTCATTGACATTCTATGGTACCAAAATGCTTGGGGCGATGCGGTTCACTCTATCCGCGCCGGCTCGGCATAGTATCCCATTGAAGGGATTTGTTGAACGTCGATCTCTACTCCCTCTCACCCGCGGCCGGTACCTACAGAGAAACCTATCATAATTCCACCCTCTCGAAATTCTATCCCTACCAAACTTCCAGAGTTCGGAGGGAATGGGACCAGTGTTTTTCTAACAAATACCTCTCTATAAATTTCATTCCTACGATATTTCCAGCAATATGTGATGTTTGGCCACGGTGGGGGTGGAATTATGGTAGGTTTTGCTGTATATCCCAATTTTCAGTTTTTACACCAGAGGTAAAACACCGCTACCACTCCAATTCTTACAATCTTTCTTCATCTACTACACGTATTTAACTTGTATCTCGGTTGCATCGTCCCGTCTTATTTGCTCTTTGGGCCTCCAGATATATGGTGCGGCGGATCTTAAAAGTGACATCAAATTCTATCGCTAATAACTTTGTAATAAGACAAGGTATCAAAACTGTCTGATAGAAGTGTAGGGCATATGATAGAAGTGTAGGGCATATGATAGAAGTGTAGGTCATCGTATGACCTACATTTATACCAGACAGAGATTTCATATCTTGTCTTGTTAAAAAGTTGTTACAGATTGAATTTGCGTGTTTTTGTATGTAAAAAGTGCGAAGGCTTGGTGAAGTGGAACATTATAATACCCATTTATACTCTACATTACAGACTTGCGGCGGAGATGTAATTTCCAGCCATAAAGTGGCTGGAATATAGTGCTCTAATTGGTTGAAAAGCATCCGGGGTGGCCAAGATTGTTCCAGGAGAATTATCGACATGTCACCTTTAAGCCCGCCGCACCAGAGCTTACTATGAGAAATTTGAAAATTGACAGTCCATTGAGTTTAAAAGTGGCACCGGAACTACAGTTTTCGGCAAGGCTAGCTATAGGCTATTATATGGTCTGGTGATGGGCACGAGACGAGACGAGACGAGACTTGGGGAAGTCTCGTCTCGTGTTGTATTTTTTGGTCTAGGTCTTGAAAATCTTGAGAAAATAGTCTAGTCCCGTCAAAGTCTCGAGATTTTTGGTCATGTGACCTTGTTGCGGGAAAATCTCAACAATCATGATAGTTAATACAAACTAAAAGTTCATTTTATTTTTTGCAACTCGATGAAAAGCTCAAGGTTTCTTGGAACTATGGCTGGGGAGCATATTTAGGTGTGGAAATAAAGTCTAAAAAGTCTCGAGACTTAGTCTAGAGACAACTTGTCTCGTGCCCATCACTATATGGACCTACCAAGGGTTAGATACATAGGTAACAGACGAGCAATACTGGAATTTCTGGGAATGCAATCGATGGACTGCAAAACAAGTTAGAGTATGAGAGAATAACAGAGGGGAAAGAGCGATTTATGCAGGCTCCCAGGTGCTCAGACAATCGTCAACATACATGAAGTTTCCCAACCCATTTAGCACTGCTTCATCTCGAGTCCGTAGATTCGTTAACCATAAACTAGGGTACGCTAGACGGAATCATGTAAGTTCCTTGATGCCCGCATACATATCATATATCCTACTCGTACAGTGGTTCACCGTCAGTCGGTAAATACCCACTACTCCCGAGCGCCAAGGTTGCTTAGCTAATCATAATCATTAATAGCTATACTAATTTTCGGCGCAATTGATTTTGGCTACCACACTTCCAACCGCTGTTCGTGAAGAGACTATACTCGTCGAGTAACGGTGAAAGACTGTACCTTGTACGGCTCGTTTGCGCATACACCGTCTCCCGCGCCATCTTATAGGTGATTGCTCTTCCAAGCACTTCTCGCCTGTTGTACGTAATAGAAGATACGAAAGGACCATTATTTGACAATAGCTAACTGACACAGCGTCCTAGCACCTAAACCAGTAGGTTTTGGGTGATACTCGGCCAGCAACTGTAGATATTCAATAACTCCACAACCGCAACACATGGTGTTCATTGAGCTTTGTCGCAGTGCTATTTCCACTCCCTCTATCATGCTACAATAATGGATCCCAGATATGCGTCATGCATGAATCAACAATGGGCCCCAGGCCCGCGGTCCCAAGCCTTGGAGGAAATATTTCAGGCAGCCCGCCCATCAGTTCAGGCAGGCCATCTCCATGACACTTCCATGTGTAGAGGGAATATGTGGGTGCCTATATTAATCAAAATTGACTTGCATAAATGAAGATTCAAGCCTTATTTCAGATCGTGATAGTTTTTCAGAAACGATGAGCATTCAGGCCTCCCAAACTAACTCGTAATCCCAATGACGTGATCCACCGTCTGGAACCTCACTGAACGAAGCCGAGTTTGCTCCTCATCTCCATCTCCAATGATGTGATCCACTCTTTAGAACCCCATTGAAGGTCCCCGAGCTTGTTCGAAAGATAAATACGGGCTCACCTCCCTCATTCTTATTGCTCCTCACACTTTCAGAGAACTTACTCCATCTCCCAAACTTTTACACACACACACATCTATCACCAAAATCGTCCTCACTACACACCAGAAGCAATGGCCAAGTTCCAACTTGAATCGAAAGTCCGCTATCACATGGGCCAGGGTAGCTCCCCAACTGTATATATACCCCGCTTTCCACTACTAATACTCCTCTGCTAGATGAAACCCGCCATACCGGTATCATCAAAAGCATCGCTCAGGAGCACCCCGTGAGATACAAAGTACGTGTCCCTTCTCAGTTTTCTTTGATACTTCGATATTCTGACTCGAAAATCCAGGTCCGGCCTGAAGGGGGTTCGCAATCCGATGAGGTGCTCGTGAACGAGGCAAATATCGATGGGGTTTGTCAGTAGACCTTTGTCATTGAGGTTCAACCTGCGGTTTAGGGGACAAGGCAGTCATGTATTGAACGGAGAGAATGCAATTGGAGTATATCAATACGTTGAAGCATCTTATGAATGTGAAAGATATCACGTGACAAAATTAGTAGAGGCTTGGGTGCGATACGGACATAAGGTGTGGTATGTAAAAGCCAACAGAAAGATTTGGTGAATTAAGAGGAATGACCGAAGGCTAGAATCGGTTTAGGACGGTGGTTACCCCAAGCTACTGTGTCAAGTCGTCGTACCAACAGGTGTAATAACCGCATATGATAGATACATGCAGTTCCATGATATTATAACTTTGAAGACCAGGTAGGACTGGGGCTAGCATAATAAGTGAAACCCTTAATCTGCTACCACATCCCCGCCATCAAACCCGCAGCGCACCCACCCCAACCCCGGAAGAAAAGCGAATAAGAGCCCCCTTCGCACGTTTTCACGATATGGGGCGTTAGGTGGCTAACCATGCAAATTGTAGAAGTTAACTGCAAATTTTCGGCTGGCAGTGCAAGGTGAACCCACTTGTCACGTAAAATCTCTCTAAAAGGGAGTGGAGTATACTCCTTTTCGTTAAAGTTCTGTCTATCACGACTCTCAATACAGAAGCAAGAAACATCAATCGCAAGAGAAAGAATGCAACCAGTCCCAAGCTCAGCGGCCCCAGCCCACCACACCACCCTACCACACCCTCCCCCGGGGGGGGGGGGGGGGGGGGAGGAGGAGCAGTCGATGGATTAGAAGTAAAATGATGAGAGAAATAGAAAATCAATAAAGGGAAAACATATCGGAGATATCACAACGACTATCAGCAAAAGCATGGAGATGACGGAGCCAAGGAGCACATGGAGGAATTTCATCTCCACGGAGCGAGCATACCCAAGTATGTATGGAAGCCTCTCCTCCACTCCACGAAGGACATGCACCTTTTGCCAGGTCACCGATCACGTGAGAACCTTGACACCCTCTTCCGCTGGCAAAGTGACTTCACATTAACGATTGGACACTTCAGGGGGCAAGCGGTACGTACCTCGCGCCGGGCAATGTGCCCGGAGGAGACCGTCTCTACCCTTCGATTCGTCTACTTCCACCTCACGGTCGCATAGACCTCCGCCTCCACCTTGCGTCCACGACCAACTCCACCGCGAGTCTTTCGATCAACCTTCGATCGCAATCACCGGCATAAACTAACCTCCTTCGTCCCTCTCCCTCCCTCCCCGATACCATCGCAAGCAAGGGCAAACGAGCGCATCATGGTGTATCACTCGATACGCGTCACCTCGTCCCGTCTCCGCCTGCACCGCCTGGACCGCCACTACCACCTTCAACACCATAAGGAGCCCGTGTAGCTACTCCAAAAAAGGCCCACCTGCCCCTCCTCCTCCACCTCGTACCGACCTCCTCCACCTGAAGCTCAACTAAAGCTCAACTTCCACCTCTAGATCTAGCGCGGCCCTACCTCTCCCTCACCTCCACTATGATATCCACCCGTACCCCGAGCTCATATGCACCTCATCCCCCCCCCCTTGCGGTCTCCTCTACGTCCACCGACACCGTGCCCTCGTCTCCATCGTAAGAATGCATCACCGAGTGAATCATGGACGATCACTCGATAGCTCTATTTAACAAGCTTGCCTCCACCATCACAATGTACCTGAAGCGCGCCTGGATCTTTCTTCTTCTCTACCCCCCCATCTTGCCTCAACCTAACCTACACCTTACCCCCACCTCTCTATGACCTCCACCACCACTTCCTACTTCTCCTCGCGCCCGCGTTCTACCTCCACCGCCAGCTCACGCTCGAACCCGCCTCCAACTCAACCTCAACCTCGAGCGCACCATCTCCGCCACCAGCTCAGCTTGCACCCACTGTCAGCAGGGCCATGCGCCTACCTCCATGACCGGCTCGCACGCAGCCCCTCCATTACCATGAGCGCCCCATGACCTCCACCACCACCACCACCACCACCACCAATGACCCTGTTGTGCCACAACATCTCTCGCGCTCACCTCCTCTTCCACCACAAATGCTGGCATCCACGAGCCCGCGTCTTCCACCACGGTAAGCTAGCCTACTCGCGCGACAGGGAGCTAATCGGCACCTCCACCTCACAGATTACCCTCCAGCACCGTCACCGCCATAACAAGCTCGTGGCCGCACAACCTCGAGCTTACCCCACATGCACCTCGTCCCCACTAACGTATCGGACGGGGAAGTCGGATATGACCAGGAAGTCGGATGTCTCAGATTCTGAGACAGTCTCACTTGGTTGCCTTGGCCTTCGCATGAATGAATAGTTACTACAAATACACAGGTACGGTCTCAAATACTATTCTTCTACAGTATAATCTACTAATTGTATAATAGTTTTTTAAGGTAGCGGGCAGTATGGCCTTCTAGAAGTGTTAGCCCCGGGTATTTTGATATATCCTCGACCTATAGAGTGTCCACCTGTGTACTAATTCTACTTTCTGGACCGGAGAGATATGTGAGATGGCATCTGTCTTTTAGAAGGCAGTATGGACTGCGGATGAGCTTTGGAAGCCAAAGGTTTCAAGTCTAGAATGTCTTCGTACTCTGAAGAGCTCTGGTCATCAATCTCTGTTTGTAGACTTGGAGGATCCGGATCAGAGTCTGTGATTGAAATCGGAATTTTCATCCTTTTCTTCTGCGTCTTGACGGGTGGAGGAGTAGTGGGAGAGGTAGAAATGGTTTTTGAATTCCGGTTCATACTCTTATACTTCCCAGAGTTGATGGTTTTGCCCGAGGATTTGGTTTTTGATGATTCCGCCTTTAGTAACTTTGCTATCTCCTTCTTCTCCATGGTCTCGCGCAGAGCCATAACTTCAGCGCCAGTAATTACCTGCGCTTTAGACAAGACTCTTCTGTCTGATTTGACAGCCCTCTTTTCTTCGTACTTCACTCTCAAGTCTCGCAGCTGTAAGTTCGCAATTTCTCCCTGACTCATTGCTTCTTCAGCAGCATGAGACAGTTTTAGGACAATTGTTGAATGTTTTTGAGGGTTCTTTAATGCAAATTGGGTTTGTTAGCGCAGGTCTCGGCGGGTTCTCGGCGTTTTCATGTGTAGATCGATATTGAGTGGATGAATGCCCGAATTGCGAAAAGCTGCTTGTATTGTTTCTTTGCTATATGCCTTTACATTTGCTTCGGTAAAGAATTTCCAGAACATTCCCTTCGTAATGCCTGTCCTGGTTTCCCTAATGTACCTATCTGCTGCCTTGTCGTAATAGTGTTGCAAGGGACTGAAAAGACCGACATCAAGGGGTTGTAATAGATGTGTTGAATGAGCAGGGAAGCAAATAAGATAGATTTCACGAGAGAGAGCATAAGAACAGAATTTATATGTTAGATGAGAGCCGTGTCCATCTATAATGAGTAATCTTGGCCTGCTGTTACTGAGTTTCTCTTTGTATGGGTCAAAGTGTTCCTTTAACAATCTCAGTCTTAATATATTATCTGTCCACCCATTTTCACTGTATGCAAATACTGCATTAGGATAATCGACCGCTGTATGCAATCCCATATATTGACCTTTATCCTTATATATTACCTAAGATGGAAGTGCAATTCCTGCAACTGACACTGCCTCAACTACCGTAATAAGCTATCTGGAACCATCTTTGACAATATTTGTATTCCTCCTCCCATATCTACAAATGACCTTTGCCTTCTATGAATATCTCAAAATGAAACCCTTCTCGTCAAAATTATAATTATCTTTTGATGGAATAAATCCCTTTGAAACCAGTTTATGTATAAGTCACGTAAGCTTGTTAAAATATAGAGAAAATGTATGTAGAGAAGTGTAGTAATTGAGCGTGTTATTCCAACTAACTAGAGGGGGGAAATACCCCATATTTATACTAAAGAAAGGTAACACAAAATATAGTAATTCATAACTGTATGAGTAATAGAAAGACATGACTAATATATACCAGGGAAAAAATGAGTCAGAACCTGTGACTCATGATGACAAATGAGAATCCTCCAATACTATGAAATGTACTGAACGTACTATTTCAAGAAAATAGTCTCGAAGAGTAATTAGATCGCTTGCATTTTGATGTTATTTATCTAGCTACGTGCTAAATTTACATCAGAGATCTGGATATCAAGCCAAGAATCGGGATATTCATTTTTTTCCAATATAGGTAGACTCATTGCTGATGGGTAGCCTCTTCTCTTCAACTTATTTCAGCGATAATGCAGTAGCCATTCTCTGCAGTAAATACAGTTTTAGTGGAAATCCATTATCATCCATGTATTGACACCATCTTTTCAAAGCCTTCTCTACAATTGGTAGCAGTTTTTGCTGTCCCTCATGTGCTTCTCACTGGTTTCTGCGACCATTGTACGTATCATTGAGTGTGGAAGCCGGAACTTCAAACTCTAGTGCAAGTGTGGTCGATGGACTACTATCGGTCTCTGCTTTTTTAGTTCATGCACGATAGATGCGGTCTTCCCTTTCTGATTGGAACAGTATCGAAGCAGTAGAACGTGATTTCACTCTTCCTATTTTGCACTATATCACCTGCAGGACCGCCCGCAATACTGATGATAACAAGCCTATTTGAGTTCAAATAGGAGCAGGAACTGGGCCCTTAATACCTTTTAGGCAAAGTTCTCGTTGAAGTATACACTCTCACCTCACGGCATACCTAGCTCGAAGCTGAACAATGTTCTAGAATCAGGGTTCAAAATATTCAAACCCATTTTGACGACTTTAATTAGTAATCCGACTTCATGATCAAATCCGACTTCCCAGTCCGATAAGTTATAAACCTGCGACTAACTCAACCTCCACCTCCCCCTCATACTCTGCGCGCCGTCACCTCCGCCAATAGAGTTTCACCCCCAAACTTGTGTCCAGCCTCATCTCGACCTCACCTTCGCATTCGCAGCTAGTATTAGCTCAGCCCCACCTCCACCGTTCTCTTCACCTCCATCTTAACCTCGAACTTGAAATTGCCCCTGACGTCTACCATGTACCTACTTCCACAACCAGAAGCTCAGCTCCATCTCCAGACCTCACTTTCAAACTCCCAGCTCGCTCGGACCTTTAGTACAAGCCCGCTTCAAGCCCAGTACAGGCTCTTGTCTACCCCCGCCTTGAGCGCCAACATCTCGCACCCTCATAACTACTGCTAGTACCAGTATGACCTCACCTCTCCACTCCCTGCCTAAAACTAGCGAGCCGTCTTGACATCCACTTCCCACTCCACCAGCAGCCCTTCTACACTTATTCCTACAGTCTATCAACTCGCATTCACTACCATTTCTACTGTCTTGAACCTACGATCAGCTCCGCCACCACCTGTGTTTAGTATTCGGAGCTGCTTGCGCCTACTACTTCCACCAAATCAGACCCACAACCTCCATCACCTCGCCCACCCCAAGACCTCAGTGCACCCAACTTCACCACCTTACCCACCCCACCACCTCAGAGCACCCAAATTCGCCCCCTGTGCACATGGTTGTCAATCATAACACTATATCTGCAAGCTCGAGTATTAAACAGAGCGCAGCTCCTACGTCCTAACACACGTTCTGTGCCCCAATCGCCACTCGCGACTGGCGCCGCCAGTGTACAATCCTTACACCTGGCTCTGACTCAGGACTGACCAACCTTCCAGAACCGCCAGGAGATATCCCTCACGTCTGGAGGGCACTTGCCAATGCTCAAGTCGCCTGAGCCGCCATGAGATTATCTCCACCTCCGGAGACGCTAGGATGGAGTGCCCTCGCCCACAGTACCTATGGAACTTTGGCTTCTTTTGATTACATCAGTAGTACTACGCGAGGACTTCCGAATGCTTCTGCGAATGCTCCCGTCAGTGCTTCCACCAATGCTTCCACGAGTGCTTCCGCGAGTGCTTCTGCGAGTGCTTCCGCGAGTGCTCTCGCGATTACTCCCAGAGCACTCATCAATGCTTACAGAACTGATGCATTCGTCATACCCACTCAAGGTGAGGCCACCCTCACTTTGTCTTCTTTGGATTCATACGCCGTTCTCGAAGGATAGGAAGGTATCACTTCCTCAAATAAAATCTAATGTGGGTATACTCAACACCGCTGTATGGTCAGTCATGGGATACTGATACGAGTACTGTCCAGTATGCTGATCATGACTAGCCAACCTTTGATGGACGTGTATGTTTCTATTGATTCGTGAAAAGCATAATTAGCCTTGAGGTAGAGGGTATAGTACGGCTCTTCTGAAAAGCACAATGTCCATGCATAAGCAGCAAATATGTACTGGTATTGTCCTCCTGGAGCGAGTTTGCTGGACAGCCAGATTCAGATACTTCGCGGTCGAAACGTTACCTCCTTCTTCCAATCCGCATTCATAGCAGAACGAAATGAGTTTTGAGTCAGAGAGTCAAATTGAGTGTAAAGTTTCTAGAGCACTCACAAATACTCTTAGGGCTTTGTAAGCATTTAACTAAGTTCATCCCACGTACCCAAGTCTATTTTAGTATACCCCAACCAATTACCAGTGTCCACCTCAAATAAATTGGCAATTCCTAATATACTCCGAATATTAACGACCCAAATCCTCTCCCTCCTCCTCCTACAAACCTTCAGGAGCCTATGTGAACTGTCAGCAATACCAAGATCCTTTGCCTCGAGTAGCTCCACTATACATAGTCTATGTACTCGCCCCCTACTGTCCCGCAGCTTGAACAAAGCCTCCACACGTCCTGGTAAGCGTCACCGAAATAGTCCCCAATTATCTGAGGATACTACTGACACCCATACCAAATCCTTTCTTATTTTATCCTTTCTAAGAGCCACGTTTCCCGTACACCGAATATTTTGAACCTCGTACAATTCAGGTCTTTGGAGGATTGGTATCGGAACCCGCAAACATTTGAACATTTCCACCCGGCCCTCTAAAATACTCTCACAACTTCCGGCAAAGCTTTGGGAGCATCCCGCATCCTCTGCATACTCCTTTATCAGGTAATATAAGGTGGTATGGTTTCTTTGCAGTCTATCCTCAATATTGAAAAGTCTTTCCGATTTCGTGGGGGGGTTGCAAAGACGCCTTACACGCAACCCCTCTTCTACTATGGATCGTTCATTTAGAGTTTTTTTCCGGTCTTCGATTTTAAAAATTTCAAGTAACTCCTTCAGGTTATCTCGATGGCTCCAAAGATTGTCGCCAGTGCTCTCAGGACCTCCAACAATGTCTTTCAGATTCAGCATTCGAATCTCTAACATCAACCGCCACCCCCCATAGTACAGTATCTGCGTTGCAGCATCGACCTTCTTGGATGCTCCGTATGTCTCTTTTATCTGACGTACATGGGAGAGTTCGCAGATGTCGATGGAGTACTGGGGAATGTTAGGGTTACTCAGGCTTCTGGGAGGGCAATCTCGGACAGGATTTTGAGGTTGCCCGAGAACCATTACCCCACAATTTTCGGCTCCGTGGCTATGGGATTAACGGGACGACCCGAGTCCATTCCCATCATCAGGTATGCGCGTATCTAGTAGGGCAATTTCGGACAGGATTTTGAGGTTGCCCGAGGACTGTCGCCCCACAATTCCCGGCTGCGTGGCTATGGGTTGAACAGGGCAACCCGAGTCCATTCCCATCATCAGGTATGCGCAGGTCTCAATCACCCCCAAATAGACATTGATGTATTTAATTTTGACCGAAGATTGTATTTTCTACACTTAACCAAACCAACTTTCAACGCTCGTAACCCTAACTATCCACAACCAAGTTGCAACCACCACCAAATTCACATTGATGTATTTCATTTTGACCGAAAAATGTTAGGGTTATTTTGTACACCTAACCAAACCAAGTTTGAAATCTCGTGACCCTAACTACCAACAATCAGGTTTCAACCACCACGAAATACACATTGATGTATTTCATTTTTACCGAAGATTGTATTTTCTACAGCTAACAAAATCAACTTTCAACGCTTGTAACCCTAACTACCCACAACCAGGTTTCAACCACCAGCAAATACACATGGATGTATGACATTTTGACCAAAAATTGTATTTTGTACCAATAGAATAGTATAACGACCTGAAGAAAAACAGATAGAAAAGTGTCACTGTGTAAAGAACCATGGGCGAGGTAGAAGCTGAGGAGTCGAGGGACATGGTTAGGTTCCCAGAGGGAAGAGACAGGCCTCGCGCGAGGACGAGGGATGGCGCAGTGGTATACCCGAAGGCCGGGACAGAGGTCTGTGCAAAGACAGAGGACAGAACAGCGACGAGGGTCTGTACGAGGGCAGAGATAAAGGTCCGTATGGGGACGGAGATAGCGACGGTCGGCATGTTAACCGAGAGGGGCGAGGTGAGGAATGGAGAGGCGGCGAAGATCATAGCAGCGGATGCACAGGGCATGAGGGACAGCAGAAGTAACGTGGACTGAGAGTAAAGTAATATATTGAAGCGAAGTGAATCCCCAAAGTAATAACCCAAAGTAGAATACAAGATGTTGCGTAAGGAAAAGGAAAGAAAGACAACAGAAGATACAAGCAACTCTTTATAGTAAGGAGATAACAACCGATTACTAATCCCACGGAACCTTCCAGACTTCCTAATGACTCATACGTTTAATATAGAGGTATAGTTCATAACAGTTTAGCTCCTCCCCCCAAAGGACGAGCTCCTGCGAGCAAGCAGACAAGAGCAAAGTAAGAAAAAAAAGAAAAGAAAAGAAGAGAAGAGAAAAGAAACGAAAGGAAAAGAAAAGTTTAACTAAGCAAATAGAGAAGGCCGACACCGAGGGACGTAAGATTATACTTTCCCACGTTGGGTCCTCTTAGGGACTAAGGCGGGTTTGGTGGGATATAGGGAGTGAAAGCATTGCAGCGATCCTAACTCTGCATTGAGGTTCCGGGCGGGTTCCCAGGTGGGTTGTTCATAGCCTGTCCATTTGACCAGGTATTGTAGTTGCCGATGACGTATCCGCGAGTCTAGCACCTCCTGCACTTCAAACTCCTCTTCCCCTTCGACAACTACCGGCGGCGGGGGTGGTTGTATGTGGCCAGGAAGAGGCTGCGTTCGGGCGGGTTCTAGTAGGGAGACGTGGAACACCGGATGGGACTTCATCGATGGGGGAAGCTCCAGTCGATAGGCGTGAGATCCAATGCGCTCGAGTATTTTGAATTTCCCTAAGCGTTTATGGTCCAATTTGTCCGATGGCCGAGTAGTTCGTATGTGTTTTCGTCACAACCATACCAAATCCCCTACTTCTAGTCGTGGTTCGGGGAGTCGGGTGGTGTTGGCGCTATCGGCAGCAGCAGCTTAGGCGTACAGGATCTCTGATCGCAATGCGGTCTGTAGGGTGGTGATCGAGTTGGCAAATTCTAATACTTCCTTCGGCGTGGCTTCGTGTCTTTCTTCGGCGGGTAGGATATCCAATTGTGGATTATACCCGTAGTTGGCGAAGAAGGGACTAACACCTAAGGGCTTCGTGGTGGCGTTATTGTGCGCAAACTCTGCCAGCGGGAGAAATTCTGCCCAGTTGTCCTGTTGGTAGTTGACGTATCCTCGCAAGTACTGTTCCATGATTGCATTTACTCTTTCGGTCTGTCCATCGGTTTGTGGGTGGAAGGCGGTGCTGAATCGAGGTTTGATATCTAATTGGTTGTACAGTGCTTTCCAGAACTGCGAGGTAAAGGTCGTGCCCCTGTCCGATACTATATCCTTTGACAGCCCGTGGGATTTCCAGAGGTGTTGTAAGAATAAGCGGGCCAGTTCGGAGGCGTCCGCCGTATCTCTAGTGGGGATGTAGTGGGCCATTTTGGTGAGTCGGTCGACAACTACGAGGATGGCATTAGATCCTTGGGACTCTGGTAGGCCGGTGACATGGTCCATTGACAACGAGGACCAGGGTTTGACTGGGGGAACGAGAGGTTTGAGGAGGCCATAAGGGGCGTGTCGGGCCGGCTTGATCCGGGTGCAAGTATCGCAGTGGTCCACGTAGCGGGCAACGTACTTTCGCATTTGGGGCCAGTAGTAGTTTAGTGACAGGAGTTCCAGCGTGCGGGCGCGTCCAGGGTGTCCTGCCGAAGGTGCGTCGTGGTTGGTGCGGAGGATCTCCAGCTTAATAGCGGCGTCATCGGGGATGTATAGTAGGCCCTGATAGTACAGTAACCCATCCTTGATTGCGCATTCCCCGATGGGAAGGAAGCGAGAGTGTTTCTTCCTGGTGATGATGTCCTTCATCAATTGTTTGGACAGCGGGTCATTGGCTAAGGCAGCCTGCAGTTCATCGTGGCGGGCGGGTGATACCTTGGCGGGTCTGGGGACCTCTAGTACATCAGGAAACTGAACAATTTCCGAAAAGCATCTCCTGAACCTCCAGAGAATCAAAAACCGTTTTGTTGTCTCAGGAGAATCTCAGGAGACTCAGGAGACTGTTGGAAGGCTGCTTAAAATGTACAATCTTGCTGATGGACGGTGGCTAGACGGAGGTTCTTTGGCTTGAGTATAACCTGATGCTGTTGGGTCAGTCTTTCATCCCCTTCCTTAGGGAGATCTCCAGATCGACGTGTGAGGGCATCAGGTTTTCCATTCTTCGTACCCGGTCGATAGGTAACCACAAAGTTGGAGGAAGACAGCGTTAGGGACCAGCGAGCTTGACGACGGTTAAGAATCCTCGTAGACATAAAGTGTTCCAGGTTCTTGTGGTCGCAATATACCGTGATCTCCTGGTTGCTCGGTTCCAGGTACTTTCGCCATTCCTCAAACGCACAGACAATCGCCAGCAGCTCCTTGTCGTAGATGTCGTAGTTGCATTCGGCTGGCCTCATCTTATGGGAGTAGAAGGCCACTGGGTGTAGGATTCCTTGGTCGTCTTTCTGGGAGAGCACGGCGGCCGCGACAAAATCAGAGGCATCGGTTTCCAATATGCAGGCCCGTTCGGGGTCAAAATGCTTCAGTATTGGTGCCGTAGTAAAAGTCTCTTTTAGTTGGTTGAAGGCGTGGTCCGCGGCGGGGGTCCATACAAACTGGGCATCCTTCTTTAGCAGGTTCATCATCGGGGATACCACTTTGGAGTAATCGCGGATGAATCTCCGATAGAAATTTGCGAATCCCAAAAAGACCTTTATATCGTATACTGAGGTAGGTGTTTTCCACTCCTGTATCGCCTTGGTTTTGTCGGTAGCCATGGTAACCCCTTCGCCCGATATAAGGTACCCTAAGTACTCCGTACGATCAACGTGGAACTCGCACTTCTCAGGCTTGCAGTGGAGCCCCGCCGCTTGTAGTTTGTCCAGGATGATGTTGACATGTCGCTGGTGTTCCTCCTGGCTGTTCGAGTAGATCAGGATGTCGTCGAGGTACACCGTGCAGAAATCGTCGAGGTGGGTCCGGAGGGTGTCGTTCATAAAGGCTTGGAAGGTGGCGGGTGCGTTGGTGAGTCCAAAGGGCATCACCAAGTATTCAAACAGTCCATACCGAGTCCGGAAAGCGGTTTTCCATTCCTCCCCTTCCTTTATCCTTATTTGATTGTACCCATTGCGGAGATCCAGCTTGGTGTAGATCTTGGCGTCCTTGAGTCTATCCAGGGTGTCGTTGATCAGCGGCAGTGGGTAGCGGTTCTTGACCGTGAGGGCATTGAGGGCGCGATAATCCACACATAGTCGTAGGGAGCCATCCTTTTTCTTAATGAATAGGACGGGGGCTCCAGCAGGGGAGGAAGAAGAGCGTATGTAACCTCGAGTCAGTTGGTCATCAAGGTATTCCCGAAGAGTCTTCAACTCTTCTGATGACATGCCGTATAGTGGGCCAAATGGCGGTTGCTTGCCTTCTTGCAACGGGATCTCATGGTCGATATACCGATGGATAGGGAGCGCTTGGGCCTCTGACTCTTGGAACAGGTGGAGGTACTGGTGGTAGGCGGTAGGGACCAATTCTTCGGTGGGGTTAGACGGCGTTGGATTCGGACCGGCGGGACGAGCAGCCAGGAGGAAGAGGTGGTTTTCGGGCTGTTGTGCTTCCCTACGGAAGCGGGCCGCCGACAGGGTGATGGTACGGCGAGGAGCGGTAGGCCTTGGGGGTATCGGGGGTGGTGGTGAAGTGGCGGCGGTGGTAGATCTCGGAGGTATCGGTGGTGGTGGCAGGGTGGCGGCGGCGGCAGTCAGTGGGGAGGAAGCGAGGGTGGAGCTCTATAAGGCAGCGGTATGTTGTCTGCATCGGTCGGCGTGGAAGGAGAGGGATCGGTCGGCAAATTGAATTTTGGCGGCGTGGTGTTGGAGCTAGGGGAGACCTAGTACTACCTTAGCGTCACCTAATTGGGTGACAAATAAGGAGATCCCTTCCACGTGGGTGCCTACTTCAAGGCGAAGCTTGCAGGAATGAGTGATAGCTCCGGAAGCGATAGGTCGGCCGTCGATTACCTGTACTTGCCTAGTCGTGGGAAGCGGCTCGGTAGTGTAGCCACGGGAGTGAGCAAATGAGGCATCGATAAATCCCTACCCGGTGGCTCCTGTATCGACTAGGGCGTGGAGATTGTCCTTGTTCCTAGACAGCAGTATCGGTATCTCGAATTGTTCACAGTCACCGGGTGTTATGAACTATATTGTTGTACTAAATGTATGAACGGTTAGGGAGTCTGGAAGGTTCCGTGGGATTAGTAATCGGTTGTTATTTCCTTACTATATAAAGCGGCTTGTGTCTTCTGTTATTCTTCTTTTCTTTCCTTACGCAACATCTTGTATTCTACTTTGGGTTATTACTTTGGGGGATTTACTTCGCTTCAATACATTACTTTACTCTCAGTTTACGTTACGTCTGCTGCCCTTCATGCCCAGTGCATCCGCTGTTATGATCCTCGCCGCCTCATTGTTCCTCGCCGCGTCCTTCGCGGCCCTCGTAGCTGTCCTCCCCTCTGTCTCTGTACAGACCGCTGTCCCTGCCTTCGGGTATACCACTGCATCATCCCTCGCCCTCTCGCGAGGCCTATCCTCCCCTCTAGGGGACCTAATCATGTCCCTCGACCCCTCAGCTTCCGCCTCGCCCATGGTTCTTTACACTATGTTGCGTCGTTTAGGGTCGACTGACATCCACCAACATACCTCGCTTAGGCGACCATCGATACCCTCACTCTCCGCGGAGACCACCGATATTATCCTAATGTTCGCGAACGCCGCACTCTTCCTTCTAGTCTGGACTATAGCCTACCTCTTCGGTAGACTCTACAGGCAGGCCACGAAGGAACCACTCGCCGACCACCCCCCACCGCTAAAGCCACCCCGGCGTACTCGCCGCCTACAAGGCCGCCTCCTCCGACGCTCCATCCCCTGGGGGCGGCCGACAGGGAATGACCCGGGCTGGTGTTTTTTGACACTAGCCCCCCTACCCTTCCGGCCGTACCTCACCGGTTTAGGACCCTACCCATCACCGGTTAAAGTTTTGAACACCCTCCAGCAGTTAGGAGCCCCACTACTCCCCGCACTCGTCACCCTTCACGGTGGCACAGCCCATGTCGAGGACGGCCCTGGCCCCTACACTGCCATGCGACTACTACGGTCAAGACGGATAGGCGCTAAACTTAAGATCGGGCAACTCCACCACCCCGGTGACTGTGAACCCTTCGAGATACCGATACGGTTATCTAAGAACAAGGATAATCTCCACGCCCTAGTTGACACAGGAGCCACCGGGTACGGATTTATCGATGCCTCGTTTGCCCACTCCCGCGGCTACACCACCGAGCCGCTTTCCACGCCTAGGCAGTTACAGGTAATCGACGGCCGACCTATCGCCTCCGGAGATATCACTCATTCCTGCAAGCTCCGCCTCGAAGTAGGCGCCCATGTGGAAGGGATCTCCTTATTTGTCACCCAACTAGGTGACGCCAAGGTAGTACTGGGTCTTCCCTGGCTCCAACACCATGCCGCCAAAATTCAATTTGCCGACCGATCCATCTCCTTCCACGCCGACCGATGAAGACAACACACCGCGGCCTTATGGACCTCCACCCTCGCTTCCTCACCACTGACTGCTGCTGCCGCTACCCCGTCGCCCCTACCGATACCTCCGAGGTCCCCCGCCCCCGCTACCTCACCGCCACCCCCGATACCCCCAAGGCCCACCGCTCCTCGCCGAACCATCACCCTGTCGGCGGCCCGCTTCCGTAGGGAAGCACAACAGCCCAATAACCACCTCTTCCTTCTGGCTGCGCGTCCTGCCGGTCCAAGCCTAACGCCGTCCAACTCCACCGAAGACTTAGTCCCTACTGCCTATCACCAGTACCTCCACCTGTTCCAGGAATCAGAGGCCCAAGCGCTCCCTATCCATCGGTATATTGACCACGAGATCCCATTGCAAGAAGGTAAGCAACCGCCATTTGGCCCACTATATGGCATGTCGTCAGACGAATTGAAGACCCTTCGGGAATACCTGGATGATCAATTGACCCGAGGTTACATACGCTCTTCTTCCTCTCCCGCCGGAGCTCCCTTCCTATTTATTAAGAAAAAGGATGGCTCTCTACGACTATGCGTGGATTATCGCGCCCTCAATGCCCTCACTGTCAAGAACCGCTACCCATTGCCGCTGATTAACGATACCCTGGATAGACTTAAGGACGCCAAGATCTACACTAAGCTGGACCTCCGCAATGGGTACAATCAGATAAGGATAAAGGAAGGGGAGGAATGGAAAACTGCTTTCAGAACTCGGTATGGACTGTTCGAATACCTGGTGATGCCCTTTGGACTCACCAACGCACCCGCCACCTTCCAAGCCTTTATGAATGACACCCTCCGGACCCATCTCGACGACTTCTGCACAGTGTACCTCGACGACATCCTGATCTATTCAAAGACGGAGGAGGAACACCAGCGACACGTCAACACCATCTTGGATAAACTACAAGCGGCGGGACTTCACTGCAAGCCTGAGAAGTGCGAGTTCCACGTCGATCGTACGGAATACTTAGGGTATATTATATCGGGCGAAGGGGTTACCATGGCTACCGACAAAACCAAGGCGATACAGGAGTGGAAAACACCTACCTCGGTACAGGATATACAGGTCTTTTTGGGATTCGCAAATTTCTATCGGAGATTCATCCGCGATTACTCCAAAGTGGTATCCCCGATGACGAACCTGCTGAAGAAGGATGCCCAGTTCATATGGACTCCCGCCGCGGACCACGCCTTTAATCAATTAAAACAAGCTTTCACCACGGCACCCATACTGAAGCACTTTGACCCCGAACGGGCCTGTATATTGGAGACCGACGCCTCCGACTTTGTGGCGGCCGCCGTGCTTTCCCAGAAAGACGACCAAGGAATTCTACACCCTGTGGCCTTCTACTCCCATAAGATGACGTCAGCCGAGTGCAACTACGATATCTACGATAAGGAGCTACTAGCGATTGTCCGTGCATTTGAGGAATGGCGAAAGTACCTGGAACCGAGCAACCAGGAGATCACGGTATACTGCGACCATAAGAACCTGGAATACTTCATGTCCACGAAGATCCTTAACCGTCGCCAAGCTCGTTGGTCCCTAACGCTGTCTTCCTTTAACTTTGTGGTTACCTACCGACCAGGTGCGAAGAATGGAAAACCTGATGCCCTTACACGTCGATCTGGAGATCTCCCTAAGGAAGGGGATGAAAGAGTGACCCAACAGCATCAGGTTATACTTAAACCAAAGAACCTCCGTCTAGCCGCAGCACTAGAGGTCCCCAGACCCGCCAAGGTATCACCCGCCCGCCATGATGAACTGCAGGCTGCCTTGGCCAACGACCCGCTGTCTAAACAATTAATGAAGGACATCCTCGCCAGGAAGAAACACTCTCGCTTCCTGCCTATCGGGGAATGTGCAATTAAGGACGGGTTACTATACTATCAGGGCCTACTATACATCCCCGATGACGCCGCTATTAAGTTGGAGATCCTCCGCACCAACCACGATGCACCTTCGGCCGGACACCCTGGACGCGCCCGCACGCTGGAACTCCTGTCACGAAACTACTACTGGCCCCAAATGCGAAAGTACGTTGCCCGCTACGTGGACCACTGCGACACTTGTACCCGGATCAAGCCGGCCCGACACGCTCCTTATGGCCTCCTCAAGCCTCTCGTTCCCCCAGTTAAACCCTGGTCCTCGTTGTCAATGGACCACGTCACCGGCCTACCAGAGTCCCAAGGATCCAACGCTATACTTGTGGTTGTCGACAGACTCACCAAAATGGCCCACTACATCCCCACTAGAGATACGGCTGACGCCCCCGAACTGGCCCGCTTATTCTTACAATATGTCTGGAAATCTCACGGGCTGCCAAAGGACATAGTATCGGACCGGGGCACGACCTTTACCTCGCAGTTCTGGAAGGCACTGTGCAATCAATTGGACATCAAACCTCGATTCAGCACCGCCTTCCACCCACAAACCGATGGACAGACCGAAAGAGTAAATGCAATTATGGAACAGTACTTGCGGGGATACGTCAACTACCAACAGGACAACTGGGCAGAATTCCTTCCGCTGGCAGAGTTCCCGCACAATAATGCCACCACGGAACCCTTAGGGGTTAGTCCCTTCTTCGCCAACTATGGGTATAATCCACAATTGGACATCCTACCTGCCGAAGAAAGACATGAGGCTACGCCGAAGGAAGTAGTAGAATTTGCCAACTCGATCACCACCCTACAGACCGCATTGCGATCCGAGATCCTGTACGCCCAAGCCGCCGCTGCCGATAGCGCCAACACCACCCGACTTCCTGAACCACGACTCGAAGTAGGGGATTTGGTATGGTTGTCGCGAAAACACATACGAACCACTCGACCATCGGACAAATTGGACCATAAACGCTTAGGGAAATTCAAAATATTCGAGCGCATTGGATCTCACGCCTACCGCCTGGAGCTTCCCCCATCGATGAAATCCCATCCCGTGTTTCACGTCTCCCTACTAGAACCCGCCCGAACGCAGCCTCTTCCTGGCCACATACAACTACCCCCGCCGCCGGTAATCGTCGAAGGGGAAGAGGAATTTGAAGTGCAGGAGGTGCTAGACTCGCGGATACGTCATCGACAACTACAATACCTGGTCAAATGGACGGGTTACGAACAACCCACTTGGGAACCCGCCCGGAACCTTGATGCGGAGTTAGGATCGCTGCAACGTTTTCAGTCCCTGTACCCTACCAAGCCCGCCTTGATCTCTAAGAGGGCCCAACGTGGGAAGGTATAAGTTTTTTATGCTTTCTTTAAGTCTTTGATATAGTTTTATTTTGTGTTTTTCGGTGTTGGTTTGCTTTGCTTTGTTTTGTTATATTTTTCTTTTCTTTTATTGTTTTTTGGTTTGCTTGCTCGCAGGAGCTCGCCTTTTGGGGGGAGGAGCTAAACTGTTATGAACTATATTGTTGTACTAAATGTATGAACGGTTAGGGAGTCTGGGAGGTTCCGTGGGATTAATAATCGGTTGTTATTTCCTTACTATATAAAGCGGCTTGTGTCTTCTGTTGTTCTTCTTTTCTTTCCTTACGCAACATCTTGTATTCTACTTTGGGTTATTACTTTGGGGGATTTACTTCGCTTCAATACATTACTTTACTCTCAGTTTACGTTACGTCTGCTGCCCTTCATGCCCAGTGCATCCGCTGTTATGATCCTCGCCGCCTCATTGTTCCTCGCCGCGTCCTTCGCGGCCCTCGTAGCTGTCCTCCCCTCTGTCTCTGTACAGACCGCTGTCCCTGCCTTCGGGTATACCACTGCATCATCCCTCGCCCTCTCGCGAGGCCTATCCTCCCCTCTAGGGGACCTAATCATGTCCCTCGACCCCTCAGCTTCCGCCTCGCCCATGGTTCTTTACACCGGGGTAGTGGAGTTGCCCAATCTTAAGTTTGGCACCTATCCGTCTTGACCGTAGTAGTCGCATGGCAGTATGGGGACCGGGGCCGTCCTCGACATGGGCTGTGCCACCGTAGACGGTGACGAGTGCGGGGAGTAGTGGGGCTCCTAGCTGGTGGAGGGTGTTCAAGACTTTAACCGGTGATGGGTAAGGTCCTAAACCGGTGAGCTACGGCCGGAAGGGTATGGGAGCTAGTGTCAAAAAACACCAACCGGGGTCATTCCCTGTCGGTCATCCCCAAGGGGTGGAGCGTCGGAGGAGGCGGCATTGTAGGTGGCGAGTACGCCGGGGTGGCTTCAGTGGTGGGATGTGGTCGGCGAGTAGTTCCTTCATGGCCTGCCTGTAGAGTCTACTGAAAAGGTAGGCTATAGTCCAGGCTAGAAGGAAGAGTGCGACGTTCGTGAACATGAGAATGGTGTCTGTGGTCTCCGCGGAGAGTGAGGGTATCGATGGTCGCCTAAGCGAGGCGAGTTGGTGGATGTCAGTCGACCCTAACGACGCAACATAGTGTAAAGAACCATGGGCGAGATAGAAGCTGAGGAGTCGAGGGACATGGTTAGGTTCCCAGAGGGAAGAGACAGGCCTCGCGCGAGGACGAGGGATGGCGCAGTGGTATACCCGAAGGCCGGGACAGAGGTCTGTGCAAAGACAGAGGACAGGACAGCGACGAGGGTCTGTACGAGGGCAGAGATAAAGGTCCGTATGGGGATGGAGATAGCGACGGTCGGCATGTTAACCGAGAGGGGCGAGGTGAGGAATGGAGAGGCGGCGAAGATCATAGCAGCGGATGCACAGGGCATGAGGGACAGCAGAAGTAACGTGGACTGAGAGTAAAGTAATATATTGAAGCGAAGTGAATCCCCAAAGTAATAACCTAAAGTAGAATACAAGATGTTGCGTAAGGAAAAGGAAAGAAAGACAACAGAAGACACAAGCAACTCTTTATAGTAAGGAGATAACAACCGATTACTGATCCCACGGAACCTTCCAGACTTCCTAATGACTCATACGTTTAATATAGCGGTATAGTTCATAACACACTGCATTATTCTGTCCTGCATTCTGATTCCGATACGTAACCATAAACTTTGCAATTACCAATCTTCGGGCTGTATCATATTATTGTTCTATACACTACTGAGTAATATTGAATCGCTGGATAGATATGCATGCCTATTGGGACAGCATGTAAAGCAGACATTAATGGTGAAATTGGTTACTATTGTTTGTGATAGCTTGATAGGTATAAATATCAATTGGAACAGAAAGTGCATAAGAATTTGTAATTGAGATTTGTTGGTATGGTTTGCTATGATTTGATTTGTATGCACACTTGTTGTGACATAATTTAAATCAGGAATAGTAAATTAGATTTGTGAGGATTTTTGGCAATTGCTTGATAAGTATGCACACAAATCGGAATGGCAAGTAAAGTATATACCGACAATAAAATCTTTCTGTATGATGTTTCAACACTAAATAGGAGTCGATACCTGTCAGACAAACATTTAAATCAGTAATTAGCAGTGAAATTGGTTGATATCATTAATAATTGGTTCATACTTATGCGTTCTTATCAGAACAGCAAGTTTATCAGAAATTCAAATTCTCATTTGTTACAATCGTTTATGAAGGTTTGAAAGCTATGGATATTTATTGACACAATAAAATACTGGAATTGATACTCAATGTATTTGATGGCTTGATTGGTATACCATGTTCTGGATCAAGATTGAATAGATTGAATACTGTACTACGGTTTGTAAAACATCTTCTCGCAAAACACCAGGTTGCGGCTTCCCAATCCAGTCTGAAATACATACAATCTGTGATCACATTCTGAACTTGAGAGTGAACAATATTCAGCACTTATCTCTAAAACTCATTATTTTAATTGATAACAGTCTTCATAACGTTTATCCTGATATTTTGTATTCTTGTAAATGGCTAGGAATTTGACGATATCCGTAAAAGAACATCTCTTCTGCCTAATATACCTATTAATAGTATGCGCCCGAATTCACCCAAACCTTTAGAATTTGCATTATGGGGGTTTTGATTGAGAATATCATATTTGAGCTGACTGGCGGTCAGTATAGCCCTCAATAGCCTGGGCGTTCTCAGTGTAACCCAATTCAGATCCTAAAACCTTGTCCGATATTCATGAATCGATTAGTTAATACACTAGCTTACAAAAGGTCGAATTGGTCAGAAAGATTATATGGATTTCTGAAGGGTTTCGTCGATTGTAAGGGTATGAGTCACGTTGGATTTGTCATTGCTAGGGTTTCCTTGGGTATATTAAGGGGCTTTGCCCTCGCTTCTATTCTCTTTCCTTCACTTTTCTTCTCTTTCTTTTGGTATGCAAAGTCTTATGTATCTACGCTGGCTATTACTATTCAAGTACTATTTTCTCTCCCTTTATAAGGAGACCATCGCACTTCTACGACCTTAACTCCGCTAGTCCTAAACTACTGCAAGTGTCTCCATCCCCTCTCACTGATTAGCCTACCAGCCCCTACGACCACCTCCCATACCCTGCGGAATACTCACTACCCACCTCCCTGAAATTACGTTGCGTCGTCATCCGCACCGTACACCGTGGCCACCCCCAACCCACCTACATAGGTCTCACCTAACAAAATCGAGTTGTTTAACCAGCAGTACGAACACGATACTGCTGCCCTGTTTGACCACGCCGCCCCCGCCCCCAATATTCCTGTCCCAGTTTTTACTGCTACTCCACCAACCACTGTCTCCACCTTTGGGTCCGAAACTTTCCCCGGAAGATTCGATGGCACCCGAACCAAAATCCCCGGATTCGTTACCCAACTCCGAATAAAGCTCGAAGTCAACCATAATCGGTTCCGCAATGAGGCAGCAAAGGTTATCCACGCGATCAGCTGTTTGCAGGGAAGAGCCCTTGATCAGGTCATACCACTTGTTAACGCCAATCCTGCTGACCGCTTTTACTCCGTCACCGCCTTCGTCGCCCACATGGAAGCCTCGTTTAGAGACCCAAACCCTCGAGGTACGGCCCACTGCCAACTCGTCCCCCTGAGGGAAGGCAAAGAAGACTTTGCCACCTACTACTCGCAGTTCCTCAGAGACGTGTCCTACTTGCATTACAACGAAGGAGTCAAGATTGATGAATTGGCGGAAAGATTGTCGGACAACTTTAGAGACATCATGACCTATCGAACGGACAGACCCAATACGGTGGAAGCATATACGATCATATCAATAACAATCGACAACCAAATATAACTGACGTGCTATGATGAAACACAACCGTGACTTCCTTTCGAGTAGTGTAAATAAAGAGAGCGAGTTTTGATGACACTCGTTCAGAAAGAACAAAATGGAGTTTGTATGTTTGAACGTTTTCAAGTCTAGAAAATTAATAACTTTAAGGGGTCTTCTCTCTATTAAAGATCCGTTGATTATGAGAGGCCAACCTGGGGCAACACCGAGTGCTTTATTTCAATATGTCGTCCTTGCTCAAGTTCTTTTTCCGACTGGCAGTCTGCCTGTTGATAGTCGGAGGTACAGCAACTATTTTCTATTAGGGGAGAGGAGAGTAATTACGACAACTTGGCTGAACTTCTATGCGAGTCAAATCACGCAATTTGCCGAAAGCTGTGGTCGGAATCCTAAAAACTAGCGGAAACAGTCGACCAGATAACAATTGCTTATGCTAATTTTATTAGAACCGATTTGGGTGTTTGTAAAGCGAAGTTTTGCTTGAGTAGCTTGGGTCGCACTCCCACTCCCCAAAGATGCTCCGGAGCAAAACAGGAGCATTCCGGCGGTTTGACGCTCCGGGGGTTATTGTTGGGGATCAAAACGTGTTTTTGGAATTAGATTTTCCATTAGCCCCGGGACACTACCAGAATCATTTCTGTCGTGCTAAAGCATGGTTTGTGGGCGTCGGTTGCGGAGAAATCGAACCTCAAAGATTCGGGTGCCTAGGTAGGGAACTCCCGTCTGGGGTTACCCGTCCTCACAGCCATGTTTATCCTTCTGTTCCAGTCTTGCCCAGCCCCCTATTTTTGACTTGTAAGACTCCTTACTCACTGAGATCACTGCCCTCTATACCAATAAAGATAGGAGCTCACCTGCCCTTGTCTTCAAGTGTCGATGAAGAACAAGCTGCGGTTACCTAAGATCGGTGGCTTAACTGATGGAATAGGTTCATTTGTAACAGCCTCATAGTGGCCCTGTTACATTACTCCCCTCTGTGGTAGACTCGTTTTGAGTCAACTGTAGTGTCACTGGAATGTTAGTATTTCGCATACAAGAAAAACTGTAGCTCTATTGGTAATTATGTTCAAACTACATGTCTGTTTCTATCTCTATTAGAGAAGGAAAACTCTGAAATGAGATGCCTTTTAAAAACAAAGAAAATCCCATATTCTCCATTCCTGTCGTAGAACCTTCCGTTCTACCATCAGCAAGCTCCGCTATTTCCCAGGGCGCAGAGCCCACATCCTGGCGCGAAGCTTGTGCCCCGAGCGCCTGATGCGTCCGACGCTGCCAGAGAATAGCACTTCCACCAGGCTCTGTCAGGCGATATTGCTTACGTCAGGAGAGCACTCGCCAATGCTTTCCTCGCCAGGCAGCGCCACGAGATACTGCTCACATCATGAGAGCACTCGTCAATGCCCTTTCCGCCAGGTGCCATCAGACTATACACTTCACGCCTGGAGAGCACTCGCCAATGCCCTTTTCGCCAGGTGCCGCCAGGATATACTCTTCACGTCTTGAGAGCACTCGCCAACACCCTCTTCACCAGGCACCGCCAGGCTCTACTTTTCAAGCCTGGAGAGCACTCGCCAACTCCCTCTTCACCAGGCAAGGATCGGGGATATCACCTGCGTCCAGAGAGCACCTGCCAATGCTCCCTTCACCAAGCTCCTTTGAAGAATATTACTCGCCTCCGGAGGGCACTCGCCAATGCTCTCTCTGCACCGTCAGTGGATATCACCCACATCCGGAAAGCACTCGCCAATGCTCTCTTTGCGCATCTCCGCCAAATGAATTGGCTCACGTTGGAGATCATTGGGCAATTCCTTCTTCGCCTTGCTTTGCAGGAGATATTCCTCACGTTCAGAGAGCATTCGCTAATGGCCCGGTTACATGCTGAGAGTTATTGTTAGAAGCTAGTTCTACGGTGATATGCAAGTACCGGCAGTGTGGTTAGCTACCAGCTGTCAGAGTAACTACATTCCGGGCGAAAGGAAGGGGATCTATTCACGGGAGCAATGACTGACGAGTCTATGTCTCGCCAGTGATTAGAAGACCGGCCAGAGTGAAGCTCTGATTGCCCGGTGATTCTCTGTTTCCTCTAAGCATTGTGAGTCCGCCGAAGGGCAGGGACTATGCTAGGGAAGTCTACAATGAGCGGAAACTCTACAGCAACGATTAAGCTTACATCTGAGCGGCAGCTCATTCATGCAGGCCCCGGTTGTATGGCAACCAAGGCTGCAGGTGTTACAAAGGCTTTGACTAAGGGTGGTTGCCTTGTGTATCAGAAACATCTGCTGACGCTCAGAGAAAAGCGGGGTAGCGGTGGTATTGTTTCCGGCACCAAGGAAAGGCTTCACCGGAACTTAGTAAGGAGTTAGGAGCAGAGAATTGAGGCCTTCGGAGTATAAGTACTCAGGCTCATTCTCACCCTTCAGTCCTGTTCTCTCCAGTCTTCATCAGAAAGAAAAACCAAGTTCTTATCGGTAGCAGAGCCCTTAAAGATTATTGAGTTCTAGCGATAGTATCTTTGAATAATCTGCAACCTGATTGTCTATCTTGCATGGCCGTCTCTATTCTATTTTATTCTATTTTCTCTTAGAAGAGACCCCCGTTACATCCAGAGAGCGCTCGACAATGCTCCCACCGTCAGGTTCCGTCAAGGTGGGTGCTACTCGCGTCGGGAGACCACTCGCTAATGTGCTCTTCGCCAGGCTTCACTAGGGGATATCACCCACATCCAGAGAGTACCCGACAATGCTCCCATCACCAGGCTACGCCAAACGAATTGATTCATGTCTGGCGGCACCACGAATGCTACCGCAAATGGTTTCAGAGCACTCACCAATGCTCATAGAGCTACCAAAGCACCCGTAGTAATACCACCCAAGGTGAAGCAATCCCTCACTTAGACCCCTTTGAATTGATATGCTTTCGTCAAAGGCTAGGTAGGCACTACCAGTCCCTCAAATGATATCTCAAGTGGGTATTCTTCACGCCGCTGTACGATCAGTCGCGGGATACTGATACGAGCACTGTCGTGTATACTGGTGATGACTACAAAACCTTTGACGAACGTGTATGTATCTGTCGATTCGTGAAAGGCATAAGCCTTAAGGTTGAGGCCATGTTACGGCTTGTCTGAAAAGCTCAATGTCCATGCATAAGCAGCAAACATGGACTGGAAAAAGGTTCAGGATGACTTTACTGGTCGGAAGACCAATGCCTGCCTACCGCGCTCTCCTGGAGCGGGCTTGCTGGATAGTGAGACTCAGATACTGAGCGGCCGAAACTTTACCTACTTCTTCCAATCCGCATGCTTAGTAGAACGACACGAATTTTGAATTAGAGAGTCCAATTGTGGCTAACTTTCCCAGAGCACTCACGAATGCCATCACGGCATTCACTATAGAGCACTCACGACTGCCTTGGGAGCATTCAAATTAGAGCACTCACGACTGCTCTCACAGCATTCAACTAAATTCATTCCACGTACGCAAGTCTATCCTAGTATTTACCAACCAATTGCCAGCCTCCACCTCAAACAAATGGGCCATTCCCAATATACTCCGAATATTCACGACCCACATCCTCTTCCTCCTCCTCCTACAGACCTTCAGTAGCCCATGTGAGCTATCAGCAATACCACGATCCTTTGCTTCGAGCAGCTCTACTATACATAGCCTATGGGCTCGCCCCGTACTGTCCCGCACCTTGAACAAAGCCTCCACATGTCCTGGTAAGCGTCCCCGAAACACTCCCCACTGCTCTGAGGAAGCTACCGACACCCATGCCCAATCCTTTCTTATTTTCCCCTTCCTAAAAGATGCGTTTCCAGTACACCTAATGTTGTGGACTTCGTACACCTCAGGTCTTTGGAAGATTGGTATCGGAACCTGCAAACATATGAACATCTCTACCCGGCGCTCTAAAATGCTCTCAGAGCTCCCGGCGAAGCTTTGAGAGCATCCCAAATCCTCCGCATACTCTTTTATCAGGCGGTACAACGTGGTATGGCTTATTTGCAGTGCATCTGCAATATTGAAAAGTCTTTCCGATTTCGTGGAGGGGTTGCAAAGACGCTTTAGAGGCAGTCGGCCTTCTACTATCGATCGTTCATTCAGCGTTTTTCTACGATCTTCGATTTTGAAAATCTCAAGTAACTCCTTTAGGTTATCTCGATGGCTCCAAAGAATGTCGTCAGTGCTCTCAGGACCCCCAACGATGTCTTTCAGATTCAGAATCCGAATCTCTAACGCCAATCGTCGCCCCCCATAGTCCAGTATCTGCGTCGCAGCATCGACCTTGTTCGATGCTCTGTATGCCTCTTTTACCTGACGCACATGGGCGAGCTCGCTGATGTCGGTTGAGTACTGAGGAATGCTCCCAAAGCGCTCGACATGTTCCCGATAGTGCGTTAACACGTGCAATTTGATGAAGTTGAAGTGAGACCTTTCCCGGATCTCACGGATCTCCTCTAAGCATCGCTCAGTGCTCTGGGAGCCTGCGCCACTCAGGCTCAATGCTTTCGTCCCATCTCTCGCATCCTTTAACGTCCTCTTGTATGCCCGAAATTCTAAAAAGATATCCTTGTGTTTATGGAAATCCTCCAGATAGCTCTCCATATAATTCAATGTGCTCATCGTATGACTCCCATACTGCGCCATTAAGTGGAAGTCTATTAAGCTTCGTACACATTTCAATGCTTTTGCAAAATCACCCCTGACAGCCACCCCCGGGTTTCTCAGAGCAGCCGCGAGTGCTCCAAGAACATCCCGCCCCAGATTTCGCATCTCCTTCCCTTGCCATTGGTTTGTAGCACGATATGCCTTGTTCGGTACTGCCAGTCCAAGGTAAGGCGCAATCGAGGCCCAAGCCTTGTCAAATTCCTCCAATCGATGATGCTTCTTCAAGAAACCCTGCACCCACTCCATCATATGCTTCAACATCCCTAGATAGTTATTGTGTAGAGTGTCCGGTTTGTTGAGATCGTATGGATTAACCCTCGGCATACCCTAGAAAGCATTGAAGAGTGTTTTCACGGATCTCGCAACAAGGTATTCGACCGGTCCAAGGTTTCCTGGGTTCTCCCCGAATAGCTTTACCCTCTCCCGGTAATCCTCGTGATTGCGCATAGGGCTCCGGCGAGTGCTCCCAAGACTGTGGAATTCCACCTCGCATCTTGCACAAGAGCTAGTACTAATATTTTGTAAGTTTGAATGCTCAGGTTGATCAGCGATCCAACCCGACAACACCGGAAAGCATAGATGTTCGTATCCGTCGGGGCATACGATTAGCTCACCTTCCTGAGAGCACTCCCAAATGCTTTGAAAGATCTCCCTCAGACCACGATGCAGCGCCATTTGACTCTGACGTCGTAAAGCGGAATTAGTGAGTGAATTCTTCCCGAGCTTAGGTGGAACTGGCAGCAGCCCTAGGAGAATAAACGAATGCCCAGTGGGCTTGGTCCGCACTGACGACTTGATGTTCCCGATGGTAAGATAGATTGGCCAGGCTTTCTTGTCCCCACTGACATTTGTCAAATGTGTGCCATCCGATGCGCATATAATTGGTACCACAGTCGACCCCTCCGGTAAAGTGTTCTGTCCAGAAAGCATTAGCGACTGTCTCTAGAGCACTGGCCAGTGCGAGGCCGAGTACAGACTTGTATCTCCCACCACCAATCTCCCGTATGCATTTCTTCGTACATTCGCTCACCAAACTCATTATGCTCTACCCCCAGTGAATACACCAATGACTCCCGAAAGGCTCGTTGGCCCAGAAGATATCGCACAATTACCATTGGATCCCGGTACTAGTAAGAGATTTTCTCCCCCCCTAATATCCACCTCCGAATGATGCCAGCTCGCTTTGCCCAATAGATCATTTATTTCCTCCAACCTCTTGATAAAACCTCGCCCAGTCCTGTAGGAGCACTCGCCACTGCTTACCGGAGCGTGTAGAAAGAAACTATTGATGTTTCCCTGTGAGGCTTTCGAAAGTATGAAATAACGTGCAATTCTAAACTCGTATGCTGAGCGGAATGGATGCCAAGGGGATCGGAGAAGGTACTGTGAGCATTCGTCGTAGTCCTCCGAGCGGTAGAGACGCTCCCCAGAACCTTCATAAATTGCTGTCGCTGCCTTATGCCTATTTGCATCTCCATCCGCCTCTTCCACCATGAAACATGATTCGGATTCTAGATCTGAATTATTACCAGGGTCTTGGTCCAAACTATCCGAGTCCGAACCGTAATGGGTATCTGAATAGCAGTCGGGAATGCTTTCTCGGCTGTCGTCAGTATTATCTGGTGTCTCTTCAAGTTGATCGCGCTCCAGGAGTAAAAATTGGTTTCCCAGCCATTCATCTGCTTCGAATGGATGAATCGTTCGAAGATGTCTATCAAAGTTCGCGGAGGAGCTATACCTCTTGCTGAAAAATGGGCAAGACGATTTCATCGAAATGTCATGATGCTGGCAAAGCACTCGAAAATTTGGTTCCTGCCGAGGCCGAGGAGGCTCTTTCCTGCAGGTGGTGCAGAGTGCTCGAACGATTTGATTTGTCATCCAATCAGGCTCTTCCCTGCAGAGTGCTCAAACGATTCGGTTTGTCACCCAATTAGGCTCTCGCTGGCACCTGCACCCCGGTCGGCAAGGCGGACTTTCAATACCCGTTTGACGTCATACATCTCCAACCTAATACAAACACAAACACCAGCAGGAAGAAACACCAACCACCACAATCAGGCGGCCAGTGATGCTAGATTCTATCCCTCTGAGCATTCGCGAGTGCTTTCTGAGCACTTGCGAATGCTCTTCAGATCGAGAGAGGGTTCTCAGCGCCAAATTCAACACTAATATCAACTACGAGCTCAAAAGATAGTACATTCTCTCAGAGTCAGCTTCCTCGAGAACAGAGCACCAACACCAACAAGAACACAAACACCAACAAGAAAACAAACACCAACCCAACACCAGAATGTTATTGACATCACCCTTGGTACCGTCAGAGCATTCCCGAGTGTGCCTAGAGCATTTGGATTATCTACGTCATATTTTGAAGCAAACATTGGGTATGAGCACCCGAGGGTGCTCCTAGAGCATTCGTGAGTGCTCTCTGGACCGTGATAAGCTCAGGAAAAAATCTCCTCGTACTTGGTATAAGAGCACCCTTCTTCCCCTTCCAGTTTGTGAGAAGCTCCTAAACATCTTCAAGTTCAAGTTCTTCTCTACCTCTCACTTCAAGTTCTCTGCAATTCTAAGTTTCAAGGTTACGTCTTGAATTCCCATTCTTCAAGTTCCATCTTCAAGCTTTCAAGCTATCACACCTTGCAATCATATATAAGATGGTATATCTCACTTAATTTAATTAATATCAGAACCATACTCACCATACATTCACATTAGGCTCTAAACACCCCTCAAAGCACTCCCGGTAGCTCATAGAACACCGATCAACCTCAAAAGAGTCGGAAGAAGCGCCAGTGTGAACAAGACGAAGACGATACTAGTAGTAACAAAAAGTCCCACCGAAAAAGCAAGAAACACAAATCGTCCCGAAAGCATAAGCAACACCGAAGTTCGTCAGGTCGCAAATCGTCCCGCAAAACTGTCAAGACTATCCCGTAGGAGATACCAGAAACACCCTCGAGGCAGTCACCAGTGCTTTCCAGGTTCACCCCGATCAACAATGGCCCAAAACAAAACCCCGTACCTCCACCAATCCGGACTGAACCCCGGACTCCAAGCATAACTGCATCGGACACTGAAGGGCTCTTTCCACCTGAGTGGGGAACAATCCAATCTGATTCCGAGCCTAATGACCAGGACCCAGAAGCAGGCCCAGCAACAGGCTCAGGAAGAGGCCCACTAGCAGCAGTCTCCACTGATTCCTCAGTACGCACCAGTGCTTCACTTGAGGCCCCTGTACGGACAACCGTACTTCCCGTTCGTTCTGCCCCAGTAGCACCCGCCAGTGCTCCCCAAAGAAGCATTGCCCCGAAGACTGTAGTACATCGGCCGAGGTCAAGTGCAGTCCGCTCGACTGTCCCAGAAGCATCCTCCACTCTTTCACAAGCACCCGCCAGTACTTCACAGAGGGCTCAAGCACCGGAGACCCACTACATTCAATTACCGACACCCCCGCCGGTTACCAGTCCCTACTGTTGCAGGCCCATCCAGATCTTTAGTAGCAGAAAGCCCCTCACCGCTGGCAGTACGCCAGAGATGAAACATACCTGAAACACCCCCGGGTGTTCAAGAAACATACGCGAGTACTCCACAGGCATCCCCGAGTGTTCGAGCAATATCCCCAACCCTTCAAGAGACACCCCCGAGACAGCGATTGCCTTTCAAAATGACTCAAGCAAGCAAAGCAAAGATGACTTTGGGTTTACTCAACCTACCCAAAGTCTACACCCTCATCCGCAACAACCTGAAGGCGGAAATGCAGAATGTGGGTTGGGTCAATAAAAGCACCTCCGGGATGGCTGCGTTCAATGCCTTATGCCTTTACTTGATGAACTTGCCCTCCCTTAATGGTTTTCTGCCAATTTGGACTGGGGGTGACTCCGATGCCTGTAGAGTATTGGCGAGTGCTCTACAGTGGCTCATCGGGGATGTTGGTATGAAGGATAAGTTATCAAGGGGACAGGGGGACCGTCAGTTCAAAGAGGTTGCCGGTGATAGTGATGATGATGATAACGGCGGTGCTCAGGCAGCCGGAAGTCGCTCTCGCAAAGGCAAAGAGCATGCAGTACCCCCAGAGCTAGTGCGACCTTCCATAATGGTCACCGTGGTGGACTCCGATGCTCCAGGAGCATTCTTTATTATCGCCCCACCGCCTACCTATGTGTAAAGAACCATGGGCGAGGCGAAAGCTGAGGGGTCGAGGGACATGACTTGGTTCCCCAAGGGGAAGGATAGGTCTCGCGCGAGGGCGAGAGATGGGGCGGTAGTATACCCGAAGGCAGGGACAGCGGTCTGTATCAGGACAGAGGAGAGGACAGCGACGAGGGCCGAGAAGGACGCGGCGATAAACAGGGAGGCGGCGAAGATCATAACAGCGGATGCACAGGGCATGATGGGCAGCAGACGTAACGTGAACTGGGAGTAAAGTAATGTATTGAAGCGAAGTAAATCCCCCAAAGTAATAACCCAAAGTAGAATACAAGATGTTGCGTAAGGAAAAGAAAGGAAGACAACAGAAGACACAAGCGACTCTTTATAGTAAGGAAAGAACCACCGATTACTAATCCCACGGAACCTTCCAGACTTCCTAATGACTCATACTTTTAATACTGCAATATAGTTCGTAACACTATGACTGGAACGATCCCCTGAATAAGCCTTCCTTCATTGGAATTTTGACCAAGATAACTTTCCCCGAGCTATACAACCTAATCCTGAAGCACACCGCACCTGGCAGAGCAGTCAGGACTATCTGGGAAGCACTCGATAATGTTCCCTCAGCAGCGGTTCCTCCCGTTCGGCCGGTGGAGGTACAAATTACTGATTCAGAAGAACTGGAAGGTTGGTTGCAGAATAGCAATGGGAGGCCTCGGAGAATATTGGCGGTACTCTACAGAGCAGGCGCGGGTGCTAATCTAGGTGGCGCTGAATCCCCTCCGTTGAACCGCACTTTCCCTCAAATTGAGGAAGACGATTACAGCATGATCGATCTTCCTGTAGAGGATTCGGATTACGAGGCGCGAAGGCATCGCATAAATACAAAAGTACTGAGGGTATATTTGCCTAGAACTGATGCTAGTAATCAAAGACTAATTCAGACTCTTGTTAGACGTCGCGATAGACAGCAGGATGCTATGGACGATTTAGATCCCAAATACCTTAGGAAGTATCCTTTGGGTGTGGGGGTTGCTGACCCAAACTTCGTACAGGGGATAATCTGGACGCCTACCAGGATAGCAGCCAAGAGAGCTGCTGACTCACTTGCGGCTGCTGGGGGAGGAGTTGGAGGAGGTGGAGGAGGTGGTGGTAGTGGTGGTGGTGGTGGTGGTGGAGGTGGTGGTGTTGGTGGTGGTGGTGGTGGTGGTGGTGGTGGTCTAGGACCTACTCCTCCTCCGGGCAGCGGTGGTGGTGGAGGACCAGCTGGAGGTGGTGGTGGTGGTGGAGGTGGTGGGCCAGCTGGAGGCGGTGGAGGTGGTGGTGGTGGTGATGGTGGTGGGCATCATTAGTCTCCTTTGGTATAGTCTCTCACCACTCTTCCTGCGGATTTCTCACTACTAACCTTTGAAAAGCTGTACAGATTGCTCTCAGAGCACTCGCAACTGCTACTGAGATGGAGGTGGTGGGGTACGATTTTATGTTTTGGATTTCCTTTGTCTTGCGAGCATATATGAATTGATGGGTTTTTGAATAGCAGTATGGAGTGCTCTCTGAGCACTCGTGAGTGCTACTGAGATGGAGGTGCTGTACGATTTGATGTTTTGGATTTCCTTTGTCTTGCGAGCATATATCAATGGATGTGTTTTGTCGTATTAGATGAGATTAGATGAGATTAGATTAGATTAGATTATTCCGTGTCGTAATTGCATTGCTTTTATTACAGAGTCGAGTCAAATTCCTAGATTGCTCTCAGAGCACTCGGTATTGCTTCAGAAAGTGCAGTAAAACGAGTGATTACAAATGATGCCGTTGAGCGGATCCCTGCCGTAGGAGGATTAGCTGTGCAAATTCTTCTTGATTAGTGGCGCAAATTTTCTCGCCAAGAATTGATTTCTAATCAAAGATACCGCTAGTGCTCCTAGAGCACTGAGGATATTCCTGCTAGCCATCAGAATGGCTCCCACCAAGCGCTCCTCCGGTTCAGCACCTCTTGCCCCAAAGCGCCCACGACTCCCAAGACGAACTGAAGAACATGAAGATTTACTGACTGACGAGTCTGAGATACCTTACCGAATATTGACTCCACTGCCAGCCCGCACTCGGAGTAGTCAATCGACCACCGCCGCCCAAATAGCTCGTAAAGGCCTTCTCCGTTCTTCTGAAACTCTGACTGGAAGAAGCAGTCCTAGAAGGGTAGAATTTCATATCCCCGGCGACCATACTGACCTTGTTGAAGTGCAGGAGCAGGCTCAAGCAATAGAGGCGCCAGAGGTGGAGGAAATAGTTGATACCAGCCACTCAGAGTATGATGATTCTCCAGAGAACGAGCCCGAGAGTTCTGAGGAGCATGAGGATGAACCGGAGGATGAACCTCAAGCCTCGACCCAGAGGTCTCAGACTGTCGGAAAGAGACCTCGCACAGCTCCGCTGACTACTGCCAAAGCACTGGGCAATGCTCGGAGGAAAGCAACTGATGCAGTAGCGGAGGTAATTGCTTCCTCCGACGTGTCAGTGGACGTGATACAGGTTTGACTCTATTCTGCTCATTTTATTGGATTTATTCAATAGACTCGGAGGCTAACGGTTCAGAGGGGAGCTCGACTGGACACAAATGTAATCCGGAAACAAGGTCAGGGTAGAGCAGCACCCATTTCGGCACCCAGCCAGAATGCATCTCAGAGAGCACTCCCGGCATCCCAGAGAGCACCGCCAATACCCACACAGTCTAGGCATTCTGAACCTGTTTATTATCATGATTACAGCTCTTCGACGCGCCATATCGATCTTTCCTCAATGCGCTCTCGATACGGGGAGTCCTCACCTACTTACCGGCCATATCGTTCTTCACCTCCTATTGACGGAATCGGCGAGAGCTCTGTGAGCAGTCCTCGGATTCCTTCAAGCCCTCAAATTCCTTCAGCCCAACCTCACAGCCAAATTCGATCGCAAGGAGTCTACGAAATCGACTATCTTCCCTCATCTAGGGAGAACGAGAATGCTCTGACGGCGGAAAGTGAGGTTCGTATTCCAGAGAGCACTCACGACGTCTTTGAGAATACTGGCGACATTTCTTCGAGCCAATTGACTCAGAGGTCTTTGTTACCCAACTCGAGGAGTGCAAATGTACTCTCAATGCAAGCACAGAGGATTGAGAAAGAGTGCAGCATATTAATCGGGGAGCATACGCTTCTACATGAGCCGTTTCCACCTGCAGCAAGACTTTCGATACTGGTAGTGAGCATGTGGGCAACTGCAAGTCGCCGAGTGGGGTGTAGAGTAGACCTTGATGAGGTCGTAATTAAACAGGTGAGTGCCCCTGAAACGATTACGAGTGCTCTGGAAGCATAATTGAGAACGATAGGTCAGAAGTCTGCACTTCCGTGTCCGTTCCCACTTGATGCACGAGGTGAAAGGGCGCCTGGCGGACTCTACGATATATGGGCTTGGAAATCTTGTGGGGCCTGAGGCAAGGGCGGCTCAAGTCGAATATCTTTTGAAGAATGTTCGTTTCTTGAGCCCCCAACAGCATTACGAGGTATGATCAATGCCCAGAGAGCACCCGAAATGCCCACAGAGCACCCGGAATGCCTACAGAGCACCCGGAAATGCTCAGAGAGCACTCATGAAAGCCGCTAACGGATACTAGACCTACCGACTGCGCTTCCTTGCCCCGGAAATCGTCGATATATTGTATTTTAAATACTTTGATGGCGTCAGGATACGAGGGGTTAGGGACCCCGAATTCCTAGATCGGATAACCCCTACACTCATTTGCTTGATATCGACGGTGATTTGGCACGGCATTCGGGCGTACTCGACAGGGACTTACGTTAAGCCTGATCATTTTCAGTCGCAGAATGAGAGCGTTGTTAGTAAGTATTGCCCAATGCCCTCACTGGTATGACGGGTGCTTTTGGCGCAGTGATGGATGCTCTCAGAACTCTGTGGACTCTCGAGTGCTTTGGGAGCAGTGACGGATACTTTCAGAGCTATACTGAATTGCCGAGCTGACATCCCCACTCGAGTAGAAACGTTCAACATGATGAGTAACACATGGAAGGGGAGGAGTAGACAGAATCAGGAGGCAACTTTGGAGGTAATCAAGGATAACCTTCGAGAAAAGGTATGCTACTATGCCGGCAATGGGTGTTCTATTCTAAATACTTACCTTGATAGATACGAGAAAAGAAGGGTGTAACGATTGAGGTGATACCGGAGGATGGGTTTAGCGAGGACGATGAAGCTTTGGCTGCGGATCTTGCCGCATTCCGAAATGCTCGGAGAGCACTCAGGGGTGCTCCAGGAGGTCCTTCAAGTTCTGACAACGGTCAGGACGAGGTGATTCATGCCCAACTTCGCGGCATTGACAGTGAAGAGGAGGGAGAGGAGGAAGAAGAAGAGCAAGAACTACCAGTAGCTGGGGATTGTAAAGGGGGCAGGGAGGAAGATGTCTAGAACACTCGCGAGTGCTTCGGGAGAATACTCGAAAGTGCTTTGGGAGAACACTGGAAAGTGCTTTGGGAGAATACTCGCGAGTGCTTTGGGAGAACACTCGCGAGGGCTTAGGGAGAATACTCGCAAATGCGCGGGGAGAACACTCCCGCGTGCGTCGGGGATAGCTGGAGATTTGTTCCGATTCATATTTTGTATTATATCCAGTAAGGGAGTTCAAGGAGGTATTGTCGTTAGTATTTAATAATAGACAGGGGATCACAGTCTTGAGTGCTCTGTAAACAGTAGAGATCGTAAGGGTATGTCTGGAGAGAACAGGGCGTCGGGGGTGTGCCAGGTTCAAAGACCCGATCCCAGGCGCCGCTGGAGCAGTCGGAGTACTCCCGGAGCTGCGGGAGTGATCCAGGAGCAGTCAGGAGTGCTCCAGGAGCAGTCGGAGTACTCCAGGAGCTGCGGGAGTGCTCCAGGAGCAGTCAGAAGTGCTCCAAGAGCAGTCAGGAGTGCTCCAGGAGCAGTCAGGAGTGCTCCAGGAGCAGTCAGGAGATACGAGCGCCCAACTGGCGCTCTGAGGCGAGGGGACTAGCGTCGGGGTAGCACCGGGCGCTCCCGCTGAGTGCCCAGACAGGGTCGGAGGGCTAGTGCGTGCCGGGGCGAACTAGGTTGTGCCGGGGCGGAAAGATGCGCGCCAGACTGCACCAGGAGCACTGGCCGTATCTCTGGAGAGGTAGTTTACCTACCGAGCGCCCTGAGCACCATGAGCACCTCGGGCGTCCAGCGAAGGCTGCAGGTTTGCTGATGGTCCTCGCCTCCCTCCATCCCCTATCCCCAGCTAGCACTCCTCGACACTACCACCGGATCAGTCCAAAGCTGAGCTTCAGACACCTTCCTCCTCCTCCTCCTCCTCGCCCTCCTCCTCCGCCTTCTTCACGTCAACCAACAGATTCCTTGAAGGTGGCTACTGCCATGAGTAGTCACTTGTTCTACGCATGCCACACCCTCGCGCCTCGCATATTTCCAGCGCTGAATGCTGAAGCGCGTGAAGTGCCTCCGGTCTGCCCCTCACCTCCCACCTCATACACATCTCATCCCCCTCTCTCCGCTGCCCCACTAATGTCTAGTGCAGCTATACATATGACGCGCCAGTCTACACCTACTCTCCACGGCACATGCAATACCTGGCTGTCACAGTGCTATGCAGGTTTACACACCGTGCTCTCAGACTAGTGGATAGCTTCGATGTCACGCTGCGGAGTGGGGTTGTTCGGCAGACTGATGCGGCCTCCGGTATTCCCAGTTTGTGGGGGATAGGAAGTGGCGGCGCGATGTGTTCCCAAGGGTTGTGGTAGAAACGGTTAAGACACGGTATGAGGCAGTGGTAGAGGGGGCGAGGGGGTGGTTGACATTTTCGGGGACGGGTGCAGGTTGTACTGATAATGGGTGTCATTGGAGGGTGGGGGCTATTGTCACGGAGGCGGTATCGGAGGCAAGAAAGGAGGAGGAGGTCGTAGAAAATGACTCCGGCGGAGAGAAACTAGACTCGGATCGCTTCCCATCCCCCGCACTCCGCAGACTTCTATGACACCTTACCACATCGGCGTGGTTCGGCCCCCTAACCGCCACCCTCGAGCTCTTCCACCTCTCCGGCACCGCGGCGGACACATATACGTACATCTGACCCTCCCTTTACTCCTAGTCTTCTTCTTACTACTCTCACACCCCAGCATTGTGTAAAGAACCATGGGCGAGGCAGAAGCGGAGGGGTCGAGGGACATGGTTAGGCTTCCTAAGTGGAAGGATAGGCCTCGCACGAGGGCGAGGGAGGGTGCAGTGGTATACCCGAAGGCAGGGACAGCGGTCTGTACGAGGACAGAGGGGAGGACAGCGACAAGGGCCGAGAAGGACACGGCGAGGAACAGAAAGGCGGCGAAGTTCATAACGGCGGATGCACAGGGTATGAGGGACAGCAGACGTAACGTGAACTGAGAGTAAAGTAATGTATTGAAGCGAAGTAAATCCCCCAAAGTAATAACCCAAAGTAGAATACAAGATGTTGCGTAAGGAAAGAGAAGAAAAGACAACAAAACAATACAAGCAATTATATATAGTAAGGAGATGACAACCAATTACTAATCCTACGGAACCTTCCAGACTTCCTAATGACTCCTACATTTAATACCACAGTATAGTTCGTAACAGTTTAGCTCCTCCCCCCCAAAGGCGAGCTCCTGCGAGCAAGCAGACAAAAGCAACCTAAAAAGAAAAAATTATCACTAAGCAAATAAAGAGAACCAACACTAAGAAACCGGAAATAAAACAATATCCAATACTAACGAAACCATAAGAAACTTATACCTTCCCACGTGGAATCCCCTTAGAAGCTAAGGCGGGTTTGGTGGGGTACAAAGAGTGAAAACGTTGCAGCGATCCTAACTCCGCATCGAGGTTCCGGGCGGGTTCCCAAGTGGGTTGCTCATAGCCCGTCCATTTAACCAGGTATTGTAGTTGCCGATGACGTATCCGCGAGTCTAGCACCTCCTGCACTTCAAATTCCTCTTCCCCTTCGACGATTACCGGCGGCGGGGGTGGTGGTATATGGCCAGGAAGAGGCTGCGTTCGGACGGGTTCTAGTAGGGAGACGTGAAACACCGGATGGGACTTCATCGATGGGGGAAGCTCCAGTCGGTAGGCGTGAGATCCAATGCGCTCGAGTATTTTAAATTTCCCTAAGCGTTTATGGTCCAATTTGTCCGAGGGCCGAGTAGTTCGTATGTGTTTTCGCGACAACCATACCAAATCCCCTACCTCTAGTCGCGGTTCGGGGAGTCGGGTAGTCTTGGCGCTGTCGGCAGCGGCGGCTTGGGCGTACAGGATCTCGGATCGCAGGGCGGTCTATAAAGTGGAGATCGAGTTGGCGAATTCTAGTACTTCCTTCGGCATAGCTTCATATCTTTCTTCGGCGGGTAGGATGTCTAGCTGTGGGTTATACCCATAGTTGGCGAAGAAGGGACTAACTCCCAAGGGTTCCGTAGTAGCGTTATTATGCGCGAACTCTGCCAGCGGAAGGAATTCTGCCCAGTTGTCCTGTTGGTAGTTAACGTATCCCCGCAAGTATTGTTCCATGATTGCATTTACTCTTTCGGTCTGTCCGTCGGTTTGTGGGTGGAAAGCGGTACTGAATCGGGGTTTGATGTCCAATTGGTTGCACAGTGCTTTCCAGAACTGCGAGGTAAAGGTCGTACCCCTGTCCGATACTATATCTTTTGGCAGCCCGTGAGATTTCCAGACGTGTTGCAAGAATAAGCGGGCCAGTTCGGAGGCATCCGCCGTGTCTCTAGTGGGGATGTAGTGGGCCATTTTGGTAAGTCGGTCTACCACCACGAGGATGGCATTGGATCTTTGGGACTCTGGTAGGCCGGTGACATGGTCCATTGACAACGAGGACCAGGGCTTGACTGGGGGAACAAGAGGTTTAAGGAGGCCATAAGGGGCGTGTCGGGCCGGCTTGATCCGGGTACAAGTGTCACAGTGGTCGACGTAGCGGGCAACGTACCTTCGCATTTGGGGCCAGTAGTAGTTTCGTGACAGGAGTTCCAACGTGCGGGCGCGTCCCGGGTGTCCGGCCGAAGGTGCATCATGGTTGGTGCGAAGGATCTCCAGCTTAATAGCGGCGTCATCGGGAATATATAATAGGCCCTGATAGTACAGTAGTCCTTCCCTGATTGCACATTCCCCGATGGGAAGGAAGCGAGAGTGTTTCTTTCTGGCGATGATGTCCTTCATCAATTGTTTGGACAGCGGGTCCTTAGCTAAGGCAGTCTGCAGTTCCTCGTGGTGGGCGGGTGATACTTTGGCGGGTCTGGGGACCTCTAGTACGGCGGCTAGACGGAGGTTCTTTGGCTTAAGTATAACCTGATGCTGTTGGATTAATCTTTCATCCCCTTCCTTAGGGAGATCTCCAGATCGACGTGTAAGGGCATCAGGTTTTCCATTCTTCGTGCCCAGTCGGTAGGTAACTACAAAGTTGAAGGACGACAACGTTAGGGACCAGCGAGCTTGGCGACGGTTAAGAATCTTCGTGGACATAAAGTGTTCCAGGTTCTTGTGGTCGCAGTATACCGTAATCTCCTGGTTGCTTGGTTCCAGGTACTTTCGCCATTCCTCAAACGCACAGACAATCGCCAGTAGTTCCTTGTCATAGATGTCATAGTTGCACTCGGCCGGCGTCATCTTATGGGAGTAGAAGGCCACTGGATGTAGGATTCCTTGGTCGTCTTTCTGGGAGAGCACGGCGGCCGCAACAAAATCAGAGGCGTCGGTTTCCACGATGCAGGCCCGTTCGGGGTCAAAATGCTTCAGGATTGGTGCCGTAGAGAAAGCTTCTTTTAATTGGTTAAAAGCGTGGTCCGCGGCGGGGGTCCATACAAACTGGGCATCCTTCTTTAGCAGGTTAGTCATCGGGGATACCACTTTGGAGTAATCGCGGATGAATCTTCGATAGAAATTTGCGAATCCCAAAAAGACCTGTATGTCGTGTACCGAGGTAGGTGTTTTCCACTCCTGTATCGCCTTGGTTTTGTCGGTAGCATTGGTAACCCCTTCGCCCGATATAATGTACCCTAAGTACTCCGTACGATCGACGTGGAACTCACACTTCTCCGGCTTCCAGTGCAGTCCCGCTGCTTGTAGTTTGTCCAGGATGGTGTTGACATGTCGCTGGTGTTCCTCCTCCGTGTTGGAATAGATCAGGATGTCGGCGAGGTACACTGTGCAAAAGTCGTCGAGGTGGGTCCGGAGGGTGTCGTTCATGAAGGCTTGGAAGGTGGCGGGTGCGTTGGTGAGTCCGAAGGGCATCACCAAGTATTCGAACAGTCCATACCGAGTCCGGAAGGCGGTTTTCCATTCCTCCCCTTCCTTTATCCTTATCTGATTGTACCCATTGCGGAGATCCAGCTTAGTGTAGATCTTGGCGTCCTTAAGTCTATCCAGGGTATCATTGATCAGCGGCAGTGGGTAGCGGTTCTTAACCGTGAGGGCATTGAGGGCGCGATAATCCACACATAGTCGTAGAGAGCCATCTTTTTTCTTGATGAATAATACGGGGGCCCCGGCTGGGGAGGAAGAAGAGCGTATGTAACCTCGAGTCAGTTGGTCATCAAGATATTCCCGAAGGGTCTTCAACTCTTCTGACGACATGCCGTATAATGGGCCAAATGGCGGTTGCTTGCCTTCTTGCAACGGGATCTCGTGGTCGATATACCGATGGATAGGGAGTGCTTGAGCCTCTGACTCTTGGAACAGGTGGAGGTACTGGTGGTAAGCGGTAGGGACCAGTTCTCCGGTAGAGTTGGACAGCGTTGGGTTCGGCCCAGCGGGACGAGCAGCCAGAAGGAAGAGATGGTTTTCGGGCTGTTGTGCTTCCCTACGGAAATGGGCCGCCGACAGGGTGATGGTACGGCGAGGAGTGGTGGGCCTTGGGGGTATCGGGGGTGGTGGTGCGGCAGCCGCGGCGGTAGACCTTGGAGGTATCGGTGGTGGCGGCAGGGTAGCGGCGTCGGCCGTCAGCGGGGAGGAAGCTAGAGTGGAGGTCCATAAGGCAGCGGTATGTTGTCTGCATCTGTCGGCGTGAAAGGAGATAGATCGGTCGGCAAATTGAATTTTAGCGGCGTGGTGTTGGAGCCAGGGGAGCCCCAGTACTACCTTAGCGTCGCCTAGTTGAGTGACGAATAAGGAGATCCTTTCCACGTGGGCGCCTACTTCGAGGCGGAGCTTACAGAAGTGAGTGATAGCTCCGGAAGCGATAGGTCGGCCGTCGATTACTCGTAACTGTCTTGGCGTAGAAAGTGGCTCGGTGGTGTAGCCGCGGGAGTGGGCAAACTGGGCATCGATAAATCCATACCCCGTGGCCCCTGTATCAACTAGGGCGTGGAGATTGTCCTTGTTCCTAGACAGCAGTATCGGTATTTCGAATGGTTCACAGTCACCGGGGTGGTGGAGTTGCCCAATCTTAAGTTTGGCACCTATCTGTCTTGACCGTAGTAGTCGCATGGCAGTATGGGGACTGGGGCTGTTCTCGACATGGGCTGTGCCACGGTGGAGGGTGACGAGTGCGGGGAGTGGGGGGGCTCCTAGCTGATGGAGGGTGTTCAAGACTTTAGCCGGTGAGGGGTAAGGTCCCAAACCAGTGAGGTACGGTCGGAAGGGTATGGGGGCTAGTGTCAAAAAACACCAGCCCGGGTTGTTCCCGGTCGGCCGCCCCCAAGGGGTGGAGCGTCGGAGGAGGCGGCATTGTAGGCGGCGAGTACGCCGAGGTGGCTTCAGCGGTGGGATGTGGTCGGTGAGTGGTTCCTTCATGGCCTGCCTGCAGAGTCTACTAAGAAGGTAGGCTATAGTCCAGGCTAGAAGGAAGAGTGCGGCGTTCGTAAACATTAAGAGGGCGTCTGTGGTCTCCGCGGAGAGCGAGGGTGTCGATGGTCGCATAAGCGAGGCGAGTTGGTGGATGTCAGTCGACCCTAAACGACGCAACATAGTGTAAAGAACCATGGGCGAGGCAGAAGCGGAGGGGTCGAGGGACATGGTTAGGCTTCCTAAGCGGAAGGATAGGCCTCGCGCGAGGGCTAGGGAGGGTGCAGTGGTATACCCGAAGGCAGGGACAGCGGTCTGTACGAGGACAGAGGGGAGGACAGCGACAAGGGCCGAGAAGGACACGGCGAGGAACAGAAAGGCGGCGAAGTTCATAACGGCGGATGCACAGGGCATGAGGGACAGCAGACGTAACGTGAACTGAGAGTAAAGTAATGTATTGAAGCGAAATAAATCCCCCAAAGTAATAACCCAAAGTAGAATACAAGATGTTGCGTAAGGAAAGAGAAGAAAAGACAACAAAACAATACAAGCAATTATATATAGTAAGGATATGACAACCAATTACTAATCCTACGGAACCTTCCAGACTTCCTAATGACTCCTACATTTAATACCACAGTATAGTTCGTAACACATTGCCGATGGAGTAACTAAGACCCGTACAGACCATTCTCCCTTGCGGAATCCGTGCTGCAAAGTTAGGATCTGGTATGCTGCGTGGCGGATGATAGTCGGACAGTGCAGCTGCCGCGTAAGCCGTATCGGAAGGCTCTGGGTATGACTATGAGAGTTTTGGCATTGGTGGGAAGGGCGGTGGTATACAGACGGAGGAAGAGTGTAAGGAGAGAGGAATTTGGGGATGGGGAGAAGAATTCTGACCGTCTGGCTTGATAACAGTTTAATAACTTCTTTGTCATGAAATATTCCAGATTGCGATAGTCACTCAGGACCTCGATGGTTTGCCCATTGGACATTAACTCTGATCTCCGTTCTTTGTAGAGACGAATAATAGCAAGTAGTTCCTTATCGTAGATTTCATAATTACATTCCGCAGGGCAATGCTTCTTGTTCATATATGCCACAGGGTGTAGTATTCTAGAGTCGTCGTATTGGGAAAGGACTCCGACAGAGACATAGTTGGAAGCATCAGATTCTACTGTAATGGAGCCATTTCAAATGTCTGGTGTATGAGTACACACAGGGTCAGTTACATGCTAAGAGTTATTGTTAGAAGTCAGTTGCACAGTGATATGCAAGTACCGGCAGTGTGGTTAGATACCAGCTGTTAGAGTAACTACATTCTGGGTACTAGGAAGGGGATCTATTCATGGGAGCAATGGTTGACGAGTCTATGCCTCGCCACTGACTAGAAGGCCGGCCAGATTGAAGCTCTGATTGCCCAGTGATCCTCTGTATCCTCTGAGCAATGTAAGTCCGTCGATTTGTGGCAGGGACTATATCAGGAAAGTATACAATAAATGAAAGCTCTACAGCAATGATTAAGCTTACATATGAGCGACAGCTCATTTATGCAGGCTCCGGTTGTGTGGCAACCAAGACTGTAGGTGTTATAAAGGTTTTGAGTGAGGATGGTTGCCTGGGTATCGGAAACACCTGCTGTCACTTAGAGAAAAAGCGGGGTAGCGGTGGTATTGTTTCTCGGACCGAGGAAAGGCTTCACTGGAGCTTAATAAGGAGTTAGGAGCAGAGAATAGACTTATTTGGAGTATAAGTACTCACGCTCATTCTCGCCCTTCAATCCTGTTCTCTCTAGTCTTCATCAAAAGGAAAAAACCAAGTTGTTATCAGTAGCAGAGCCCTTAAAGATTATTGAGTTCTAGCGATAGTATCTTTGAATAATCTACAACCTAAGTGTCTATCTTGCATGGCCGTCTCCATTCTATCCTATTTTATTTCTGTTAGAAAAGACCCCCGTTACATCTACAATGATACGTCTGTCATGGTCGAAATGACGGAGAAAAGGATACAAAGTAAACGCTGCCTTTAGATCGTTAAAGATGGCTTGGCAAGCAGGGGATCAGATAAACGGGGTGTTATCGTGGATGAGAGCTGTAATTGGTAGCAAGATCTCGGTGTAGCCCTTGATGAATCTTCAGTAGATATTTTTGCAAACTCGGTGAATACCTGAATATTCTTGACATTCCGAGGTGCCTTCCAATCCCTGATTTTCTTAACCATCTTGCGGTCCATTTCCAATCCTTTTGTCATGATTATCAGCCCGAGATACTTGGTGTCCTGCACATAGAATTCGCAATTTTCAGGAGCGCAGTACAGATCGTTATTCGTGAGGACTTGTAGAACTTGGTTGACATGATCCTTGTGGGATTCCAAATCATTGCTATAGATTAAGATATCGTCCAAGTATGCTGTGCAGAACCGATCGAGGAAGGGGCGGAGAACGTCATTGAGGAATCATTGAAACGAGGCAGGAGCATTGGTTAGATCGAAAGACATAACGTTGTACTAGAAATGGCCAAACCGGGTGCGGAATGCTCTCTTCCACTCGCCTCCGCATACTATCCTGATCTGATTATAAGCTGCCCGAAGATTGCGCTTAGGGTAGCACTTAGCTGCACTGATCTGGTTAAAGGTTTCCTTGGAGAGTGGCAGGGGGTATTGGTCTTTGATGGTAATTTCATTTACTCCCCGATAGTTTAAACAGAAGCGGAGACGACCTCCCAGTTTATTGATGAATAGGACAGTGGTACCAGCGGGGGAGGAGCTTGGGTCCATTCGTCCCGATGTCACTTCCGTGTCCAGGTGATCCTTCAAAGTTGTTAGCTCATCTCGGGAGACACTATACAGGGCACCAAATGGGGGTTCAGTTACTTCTCTTAGCCTGATGCGGTGGTCATAGGGTCGATGTTGAGGTAGTTGTTTAGCTCCTTCTTCCTAGAATCGGGACAGGTACTAAACCGGCGGAGTCAGGGAGAGATGGCGATAGCGTTGGGGTAACAAACGCCGCGAAGACTTCTAAGTACTTAGTTATCTCATAGAACGTGGCTGCCGATATACTTTCTACCTCTAGATAATGTGTGGCAGGCAGCGGGCTCGAGACACCCTGGACATAGGCGGGAACGGGTTCATATTTGCATTGGCGGAGAGAGCGGAGGGAGTCGAAAAGGATCGAATTCGAAGTGAAATCAAGTTTAACATTATGTCGACGCATCCATGTAATAGCAAGGACTACAGGGTAGTGCCCAAGACGAGTAACATAAGCGGTAATGTTTTCAAAATGAACTTGAATGCGGAGAGACAGTTGGGCGGTATGGGTAATATCACCGGAAGAGATTTCTCTCCCATCGATGTCTTGTAGTTTTCGGGGTTGTTCGAGCAAGGAGGTAGGAAGTTGATAGTGGCATACAAAACTCTCATCAAAGAAGGCGATTCCGGAAGCCCCAGTGTCAACTAATGCATAGGTTTCACAGATTTTATTTTTATCAGATACAGAATGCCAAACAACGAAGTGATCTGAAAATCCTTGCACAGAAGGGACACTAGAAACAGGACCAGAAACCGAAGACAGAGACAAAGAGATGGGGGAAATCTTTACTGAGCCACTCAGTGCAGGTCGTCTCCATTTCCTGCCGGTGGGGAACGGGAGCGCGGTATATTGCACGGACCAGGGAAAGAAAACCCAAGATCAGAAAAACCAGAATGATCAGAAGCAGAACCAGAGGAAGAAAGTCCAGAAGAAGAAACCGAAGGAAATCCAGAACCAGAAGTAGAAGAAGAAGCAGTAAGATCCCCGTGCATCACCAGAGGCTGGTAGGCCTCGGTGGAGGCAGCGGTGTGGAACGGACGAGCATTAGGACGACGGTTTGGGCACTCGGTAGAAAAATGTCCACCCTGCCCAAAGTACATGCACAAACCTTGGGCCGTGCGATGCGAGCATTCAGCGGGGAACAGAGGACTACAAAGAGAGTGAAGATGGAGGTTAGAGAGGTCCATGAGCACTATACCCCCAGGTAAGTGGGATGGGTGTGATAAGGTTGCTGGAGCTGAAGCAGCAGCAGGGTCGGAGGATTGTCGAGGAGTAGCAGTGGGGGCGGAAGCAGGAGCGACATGTGAACAGAGGCGACCATCCCTAATACGTCCATTCAGCTCTTGTAGGAGTTGAACTTACAAAATCAGGGGGCCGTGGGTCCTATGATGGATCTTGGTGTTAAGGAGGTTATTGGAGATGCCACGGGTGGGGGCCTGCTTCTGAGCCTGCTCTTTCCAGTCAACGTCAGTGGCAAGGCATTGAAAGTCGACGAAATAGGCGGAGAAGTCTCGGGATCCTTGGGTCAGTTATTCCAGCTCTCGTTCAGGGGTGGCGATACGGTTAGGGTTGCTGAAAGCAGTATCAAGGAGGGAGATCAGGTCTTCCACATCTGCAAAGTTGATAGTAGCCCCATTGACCAAGGGCAAAACCTAGCCTAGGTTGTGCCCTGATAGCGGATTGATGGCCTACACGAGTTGTTGTTGGTTCGAGGAGAAGCGGTCAGCATTACCAATAATCTTGAGGCGGAGTTGGGTGACGAAGGGACGGAGTGCCGAGCGGGTTCCATCGAACTTAGGAGGATCAAAAATTTTATCAGATCATGGGGCAGGAACAGCAGAGGCAGGTACTGGAGCAATTGGTACGGGGATGTGAGGAAGGGCTTGCACAGGAGCGACGTGTTCAGGGGTAGGAGCAGCCTGGTCATGAAGGAGTTTGTTCAGTTCCCTGGCTTCTACCAGATATGTGGAGAGATTGTGGACCTGGTTTTGAAGTTTAGGGATGGTGGAGGCCGCGTTTTGAGCGAAGTTAAGTTGTTGTTGGAGGGCATCGCTCTCATTCCCGAGGGCCTAAAGGTAGTTGCGAGCTGTCTTACATTCGTTGAAATATCTCAATTCATGTGATCCTTATTTGACCAGGTTCTAGTAGTGGAATGTCGGACAGGATTTTGAGGTTGCCCGGGAACCGTCGCCCCACAATTCCGGGCTCCGTGGCTATGGGTCGAACAGGACGACCCGAGTCCATTCCCATCATCAGGTATGCGCGTACAGGGGGTCGTGATCGTGAATGCGGGGGCGGAGGTGGTGGTTGGGGGCCCTTGAGTAGGGTAACTCACTGTGAGTCTTGGCGACCCGTCCTGGTTCACTCCATCACCGACACTCACAACAATCGACAACTGCACCGTACCGAGCGTGCCTTCTCTATCCTACAATCATGACGGCTTTCAAAACTGAATCATGCCGTGTTTCCCCATCTTGTGGTTCGATGAAATACACGAATTTCGGATTCTGAACCCCGGGTTACCGCATTGGGTGAATCCCACTTCGACGCTCGTAACCCTAACCGCCAACAGCCAGGTACAAACCACCACCAAATACAGATTTATGTATTTCATTTCTGCCGAAAATTCTATTTTGCACACCTAACCAAACCAGATGGCAACGCTCGTAACCCTAACCGCCAACAGCCAGGTTTAAACCACCTCGTAATACAGATTCATGCATTTCATTTTGACCGAAAACCGTATTCTCTAACCCTAACCAAAATCCCACTTCGACGCTCGTAACCCTAACCGCCAACAGCCAGGTACAAACCACCATCAAATACAGATTTATGTATTTCATTTCTGCCGAAAATTCTATTTTGCACACCTAACCGAACCAGATGGCAACGCTCGTAACCCTAACCGCCAACAGCCAGGTTTAAACCACCTCGTAATACAGATTCATGCATTTCATTTTGACCGAAAACCGTATTCTCTAACCCTACCCAAAATCCCACTTCAACGCTCGTAACCCTAACCACCCGCATCCAGGTTTAAACCACCACCAAATACAGATTTATGTATTTTGTTTTGACCGAGAATTGTATTTTGTATACCCAACTGAACCAGATTGCAACACTTGTAAACCTAAGCAGCAACGTACAGGTTCAAACCACGATCGAATACGCATCGATTCCTAATTCGGATTTCAATACTTGCAACCCGATATGTGAGTGACATTTCATTATCGACACCTCATCTTGTAGTGGAATGTCAGACAGGATTTTGAGGTTGCCCGGGAACCGTCGCCCCACAATTCCGGGCTTCGTGGCTATGGGTCGAACAGGATGACCCGAGTCCATTCCCATCATCAGGTATGCACGTACAGGGGGTCGTGATCGTGATTGCGGGGGCGGAGGTGGTGGTTGGGGGGCTGTTGAGTAGGGTAACTCACTGTGAGTCTTGGCAACCCGTCCTGGTTCACTCCTGGCACCGCCACTCACCGGGCGGGTACAACGATCGATGACTGCATGGCACCAAACGCACCGTCTCGAGCCCACGATCATGACGGCGCATGAAATTCAATGATGCCGCGTTTCCCCATCCTCTGCTTCGATGGAATACATAAATTTCAGATTCCGGACTGCGGGTTACCGCATCGGGCGAATCCCACTTCTCGTCTCCGCTGTGTCTTCTTACGCCAACTCAGATTCTGACCTCCAGGTTACCGCTCGGTGTGTTTTCTAACACTAATTCGGATTTCAATCTCAAACAACGCTATGTGCAATACCTGCAACCCAATATGTGAGTGACGATCCATGACCGACATTCCATATTGTGTATTGTTGCAGTCTAGTAGTGGAATGTCGGACAGGATTTTGAGGTTGCCCTGGAATCGTCGCCCCACAATTCCGGGCTCCGTGGCTATGGGTCGAACAGGACGACCCGAGTCCATTTCCATCATCAGGTATGCACGTACAGGGGGTCGTGGTCGTGATTGCGGGGGCGGAGGTGGTGGTTGAGGGCTGTTGAGTAGGGTAACTCACTGTGAGTCTTGGCAACCCGTCCTGGTTCACTCCATGACCGACACTCACAACAATCGACAACTGCACCATACCGAGCGTGCCTTCTCTATCCTAGAATCATGACGGCGTTCAAAACTGAATCATGCCGTGTTTCCCCATCTTGTGGTTCGATGAAATACACGAATTTCAGATTCTGAACCCCGGGTTACTGCATTGGGCGAATCCCACTTCGAGGCTCGTAACCCTAACCGCCAACAGCCAGGTACAAACCACCACCAAATACAGATTTATGTATTTCATTTCTGCCGAAAATTCTATTTTGCACACCTAACCGAACCAGATGGCAACGCTCGTAACCCTAACCGCCAACAGCCAGGTTTAAACCACCTCGTAATACAGATTCATGCATTTCATTTTGACCGAAAACCGTATTCTCTAACCCTAACCAAAATCCCACTTCGACGCTCGTAACCCTAACCGCCAACAGCCAGGTACAAACCACCATCAAATACAGATTTATGTATTTCATTTCTGCCGAAAATTCTATTTTGCACACCTAACCGAACCAGATGGCAACGCTCGTAACCCTAACCGCCAACAGCCAGGTTTAAACCACCTCGTAATACAGATTCATGCATTTCATTTTGACCGAAAACCGTATTCTCTAACCCTACCCAAAATCCCACTTCAACGCTCGTAACCCTAACCACCCGCATCCAGGTTTAAACCACCACCAAATACAGATTTATGTATTTTGTTTTGACCGAGAATTGTATTTTGTATACCCAACTGAACCAGATTGCAACACTTGTAAACCTAAGCAGCAATGTACAGGTTCAAACCACGATCGAATACGCATCGATTCCTAATTCGGATTTCAATACTTGCAACCCGATATGTGAGTGACATTTCATTATCGACACCTCATCTTGTAGTGGAATGTCAGACAGGATTTTGAGGTTGCCCGGGAACCGTCGCCCCACAATTCCGGGCTTCGTGGCTATGGGTCGAACAGGATGACCCGAGTCCATTCCCATCATCAGGTATGCACATACAGGGGGTCGTGATCGTGATTGCGGGGGCGGAGGTGGTGGTTGGGGGCTGTTGAGTAGGGTAACTCACTGTGAGTCTTGGCAACCCGTCCTGGTTCACTCCCGGCACCGCCACTCACCGGGCGGGTACAACGATCGATGACTGCATGGCACCAAACGCACCGTCTCGAGCCCACGATCATGACGGCGCATGAAATTCAATGATGCCGCGTTTCCCCATCCTCTGCTTCGATGGAATACATAAATTTCAGATTCCGGACTGCGGGTTACCGCATCGGGCGAATCCCACTTCTCGTCTCCGCTGTGTCTTCTTACGCCAACTCAGATTCTGACCTCCAGGTTACCGCTCGGTGTGTTTTCTAACACTAATTCGGATTTCAATCTCAAACAACGCTATGTGCAATACCTGCAACCCAATATGTGAGTGACGATCCATGACCGACATTCCATATTGTGTATTGTTGCAGTCTAGTAGTGGAATGTCGGACAGGATTTTGAGCTTGCCCGGGAATCGTCGCCCCACAATTCCGGGCTCCGTGGCTATGGGTCGAACAGGACGACCCGAGTCCATTCCCATCATCAGGTATGCGCGTACAGGGGATCGCGGTCGTGATTGCGGGGACGGAGGTGGTGGTTGGGGGCTGTTGAGTAGGGTAACTCACTGTGAGTCTTGGCAACCCGTCCTGGTTCACTCCCGGCACCGCCACTCACCGGGCGGGTACAACGATCGATGACTGCATGGCACCAAACGCACCGTCTCGAGCCCACGATCATGACGGCGCATGAAATTCAATGATGCCGCGTTTCCCCATCCTCTGCTTCGATGGAATACATAAATTTCAGATTCCGGACTGCGGGTTACCGCATCGGGCGAATCCCACTTCTTGTCTCCGCTGTGTCTTCTTACGCCAACTCGGATTCTGACCTCCAGGTTACCGCTCGGTGTGTTTTCTAACACTAATTCGGATTTCAATCTCAAACAACGCTATGTGCAATACCTGCAACCCAATATGTGAGTGACGATCCATGACCGACATTCCATATTGTGTATTGTTGCAGTCTAGTAGTGGAATGTCGGACAGGATTTTGAGGTTGCCCGGGAACCGTCGCCCCACAATTCCGGGCTCCGTGGCTATGGGTCGAACAGGACGACCCGAGTCCATTCCCATCATCAGGTATGCACGTACAGGGGGTCGTGGTCGTGATTGCGGTGGCGGAGGTGGTGGTTGAGGGCTGTTGAGTAGGGTAACTCACTGTGAGTCTTGGCAACCCGTCCTGGTTCACTCCATCACCGACACTCACAACAATCGACAACTGCACCGTACCGAGCGTGCCTTCTCTATCCTAGAATCATGACGGCGTTCAAAACTGAATCATGCCGTGTTTCCCCATCTTGTGGTTCGATGAAATACACGAATTTCGGATTCTGAACCCCGGGTTACCGCATTGGGCGAATCCCACTTCGACGCTCGTAACCCTAACCGCCAACAGCCAGGTACAAACCACCACCAAATACAGATTTATGTATTTCATTTCTGCCGAAAATTCTATTTTGCACACCTAACCGAACCAGATGGCAACGCTCGTAACCCTAACCAAAACCCCACTTCAACGCTCGTAACCCTAACCACCCACATCCAGGTTTAAACCACCGCCAAATACAGATTTGTGTATTTTGTTTTGACCGAGAATTGTATTTTGTATACCCAACTGAACCAGATTGCAACACTTGTAAACCTAAGCAGCAACGTACAGGTTCAAACCACCATCGAATACGCATCGATTCCTAATTCGGATTTCAATACCTGCAACCCAATATGTGAGTGACGATCCATGACCGACATTCCATATTGTGTATTGTTGCAGTCTAGTAGTGGAATGTCGGACAGGATTTTGAGCTTGCCCGGGAATCGTCGCCCCACAATTCCGGGCTCCGTGGCTATGGGTCGAACAGGACGACCCGAGTCCATTCCCATCATCAGGTATGCGCGTACAGGGGATCGCGGTCGTGATTGCGGGGACGGAGGTGGTGGTTGGGGGCCGTTGAGTAGGGTAACTCACTGTGAGTCTTGGCGACCCGTCCTGGTTCACTCCCGGCACCGCCACTCACCGGGCGGGTACAACGATCGATGACTGCATAGCACCGAACGAACCTTCTCGAGCCCACAATCATGACTTCGCATGAAATTCAATGATGCCGTGTTTCCCCATCCTCTGCTTCGATGGAATACATATATTTCGGATTCTGAACTCCGGATTACCGCATTGGGCGAATCCCACTATTTGTCTCCGCTGTCTTCTTACGCTCTCGGATTCTTTACTCCAGGTCACCGCTTTACTAATTTTCAACGCTCGTAACCCTAACTACCCACAACCAGGTTTCAACCACCCCAAATAGACATTCAAGTATTTCATTTTGACCGAAGATTGTATTTTGTACAGGTAACCAAATCAGATTTGAACGCTCATAACCCTAACTACCCACATCTAGGTTCCAACCACCACCAAATACACATTGATGTATTTCGTTTTTACCGAAGATTGTATTTTGAACACGTAATCAAACCAACTTTCAACGCTCTTAACCCTAACTACCCACAACCAGGTTTCAACCACCACCAAATACAGATGGATCTGTTACATTTTGACCCAAAGTTTTGTAAGAGTATGAGTCACTTTGGATTTGTCATTGCTAGGGTTTTCTTGGGTATATTAAGAGCCTTTGCCCTTGATTCTATTCTCTTTCCCTCTCTTTTCTTCTCTTTTCTTTGGTATGCAAAGGCTTAGGTAATCTACGGTGGCTATTACTATTCAAGTACTATTTTCTCTTCCTTTATAAGGAGGCCATCTCACTTCTCCGACCTTCGCACCGCTAGTCCTAAACTACTGTAAGTTTCTCTAACCCCTCTCGCTGATTAACCTACCAGCCCCTATGACCAACTCCCATACCCTGCGGAATACTCGCTACACAACTCACTAGTGTTAAGTTGCGTCGTAATCCGCACCATACGCCATGTCCACCCCCAACCGACCTACATGGATCTCATTTAACAAAATCGAGCAGTTTAACCATCAGTACGAATAGAATACTGCTGCCCTGTTTGACCACCTCCCTACTATGTTTTAAAGCATCCGACACGAGAGGGATAGTGCTCGTACACTGCTCTCCGCCGCCCACAAAACCATTGACTACGTGGAAGAGCAAGTAATACAGGTCAACCTTGACCTCAATGTTGACCACACTGCCCCTGCCCCCAATGTTCCTGTCCCCGTTTTCGCTGCTACTGCACCAACCACTTTCTCCACCTTTGGGTCTGAAACGTTCTCTGAAAAGTTCGATGATATCCGGACCAAAATCCCCGGATTTGTTACCCAACTCCGAATGAAGCTCGAAGTGAACCATAATCATTTCCGCAATGGGACAGCAAAGGTTATCCATGCGGTCACCTGTTTGGAGGGAAGAGCCCTTGATCAGGTCATACAACTTGTTAACGCCAATCCTGCTGACTTCTTTTCCTCCGTCACCTTCTTCGTCGCCCACATGGAAGGCTCATTTAGAGAACTATACACTCAAAGTACCAACCACCGCCAACTCATCCCCCTGAGGCAAGGCAAAGGAGACTTTGCCACCTACTACTCACAGTTCATCAGAAACGTGTCCCACTTGCATTACAACAAAGGAGTCAACATTGATGAATTGCCGGAAAGATTGTCGGACAACTTTAGAGACGTCATGACATATCGAACGGACAGACCCAATATGGTGGAAGCATATGCGACGATGTCAGTGACGATCGACAACCAAATGTAACTGACGTGCTATGATGAGGCACAACCGTGACTTCCTTTCGAATAGTGTAAATAAAGAGAGCGAGTTTTGATGATACTCGTTCAGAAAGAAGAAAATGGCAGTTTGTATGTTTGAACGTTCCCAAGTCTAGAAAATTATTACTTTGAGGGGTCTCCTCTCTATTAAAGATCCGTTGATGATGAGAGGCCAACCTGGGGCAACACCGAGTGCCTTATAGGAATACGGCACCTTTGCTCAAGTTCTTTTTCCGACTGACAATCTGCCTGTTGATAGTCGGGGGTACAGCAACTATTTTTTATCAAGGGAGAGGAGAGTAACTGCGACACATTGAATGAACTTCTGTCCGAGTCAAATCATGCAATTTGCCGAAAGCTATGGTCGGAATCTTAAGAACTATTGAAAACAGCCGACCAGATAATAATTGTTTATTCTAACTTTATTAGAACCGATTTGAGTGTTTGTAAACCGAAGTTTTGCTTTAGTAGCTTGAGTCGCACTCCCACTCCCCAAAGATACTCCGGAGCAAAACAGGAGCATTCCGGCAGTTTGACACTGCGGAGGTTAATGTTGGGGATTAAAACGTGTTTTTGGAATTAAATTTTCCATTAGCTCCGGGACACCGCCAGAATCATGTCTGTAGTGCTAAATCATGATCTTTGAGCGTCGGTTGCAGAGATATGAAACCTCAAAGACTCGACTGCATAGGTAGGGAACTCCCGTCCTGGGTTCCCTGTTCTATCAACCATCTTTGTACTTCTGTTCCAAGCTTGCTCAGCCCCCTATTTTTGACTTGTAAGACTTCTTACTCATTGAGATCCCTGTCCTCTATACGAATAAAAGTACGAGCCCAACTGCTCTTGTCTTCACACATCGATGAAGAACAAGCTGCTGTTACTTAAGGTCGGTGGCTTAACTGATGGAATAGGTTCTTTTGTGACAGCCTCATAGTGGCACTGTTACATTACTCCCCTCTATGGTAGACTCGTTTTGAGTCCACTGTAGTGTTACTGGAATATTAGTATTTGGCATAGAAGAAAAACAGTAGCTCTAGTGGTGATTACGTACAAACTACATGTCTCTTTCTATCTCCATCAGAGAAGGAAAACTCTAAAATGAAACGCCTTTTAAAACAAAGAAAATGACATATTCTCCACCCTTGTCGTAGAACCTTCCGTTCCACTAGTGGAGATTTCGATCTTAGCAAGAATCTCTCTTTTTCCCTTTTCTTTTTTACGCGGGTTTCCTCACGCTTCGGTTTTCTATCGTTTCTTGCATTGTTTTCAGGGAAAAATGGTATCCAAACTCTGTCAGACAGATGAAAAACCTGGTACCGGAGAGTTGGTTTTTGTTCCCGGATTTCTTCTGAAATACAGAGCTACTCACGCCGTGTTTTGAGGATCCCTAAAGTTTCACCATATTTTCCGAGGTTTTTGCGGGTATTTTTGATGAAATACTTTCAGGGCCTCATCGGCTCTTCCTTGCAGAATTTCATATGGTTCCCAGGAGTCTTCCGAACGATAGCCCTCCCAAACAATACGATACTCTACAAACATTTTCTAATGCTCAGCCTGTTGCCATCGGCTATTAGCTATTTCTTGGAGAACGTGACTGTATTCTCCTTCGAACTCATCTGGAGTAGGAGGGACTTCAGTGCGTTGAGGGTATATCAGTCCCCGATAGGACTCCAGCAGAAATATGGAAGACATCATGAATGTTCCATTGAGAGGGAAGCTTCAGCCTGTAGAACGTAACAGCAAGTTTCTCATCAACCTCAAAGAGACATAGTTTCTTGTAGTCAAGCTTGCTTGGGGGTCGATTGGCAACCATATTGCGTCGGTCCATCATCACCTTATCCCCATCTTCAGGTTCTGGAGCTTTCATATGCTTCTAGTCATACCATTTCTTCTGCCGGGCCTGTGCCTTAAAAATATCAGTCCTCATAGTTTTCCAAAGAGCTTTCCACTTGAACTTTAGTACGGCGCTGGAAACATTAACATTATCCAGCTTCCTTGTTTGCGATTGCCATTTGGAATCAGGCTCGAACCCATAGTTCGCGTCGGACTGAGATGCTTTAATTGACTGTTGGGTTGCCGTGTTGTAGGCGTACTCTGCAACCGGGAGTAACCCTGCCCAATCATCCTACTGGTAGGTCCAAAAGTTTCTGAAATATTACTCTAGCGTTTGATTGACCCTCTCAGTTCACCTGTCAGCTTGAGGACGGTATGCCGTAGACATACAGAGGTTGACTCCGAGAAGCTTGATCAATGAATGCCAGAACTTGCTTTCGAATCTGAAGTCCCGATCAGAAATGATTTCTTCGGATACTCCATGTACTCGGCATATTTCTTGAAGGAATATATGCGCAAGTTCCTCGATTGTTGCCTCGGTCTTGAGCTGTATGAAGTAGGAGATTTTGGTAAAGCGTTCAACAATAACCCCAATGAGGGTATGGGCATCAGATTCTGGCATACTGACGATAAAGTCCATCGAGATAGAACTGCAAGGAGTGTTGGGGACCTCTAACTGTTGTAGCATCCTGTAGTTCTCATGACTTGAGCTTTGATTGCTTTGACAGGTATCGCAATTCCGTACGTATTCTCCCATTTCATTGTCCATCTTTGTGCAAAAGATTAGTGCCCGAAGATGCTCTGCAGTTTTGAATTGACCCAAGTGGCTTGCGGGCTTCGAATCATGTAGGGCGCTCATGATTTTTGGTTTGAGCTTTCGCTGATTTGGGATGTACCATCTTTTCTTCCAAAAGACATCACTTTCTCTCAAAGTTAGGTTTCGGTCCACTGGCTTACCGAAGGTGTGATCCACAGCCTCCTCCAGGGAGAATTACTCAGGGTCTGAAGCTGAATGAGGCCGGATTTTGTCCAGAAGCATCGGTGTGAGTTTGCAGACCTGAGGTGATTTTGGCCATTAAGATTTGATCGTAACGGTTGGTGATTGTACAGAAACCATTCTGCTAGGGCAACTCAGGAGAGGATTCTGAGGTTGGGCGAGAACCGTGGCCGTACAATTCCCAATTCCGTTGCTATACGTTGGCCAAAACGAATAGAATGCATCACCATCGTCAGGTATGTGGGTAAAAGGCAACATGATTGCGATATCTGGAGGGGAGGTAGTGGGTGGGGGCTGTTGAGTGTTAGCACGGGTTACCTACGGCTAGGGGTAGATAGGGTTAACTGGGATTACAGGCAAAATAAGGGTTACGGGCCGAACTAGGGTTAGTTAGGGTTAGGGTTAGTTAGAGTTAGTTAGGGTTAGTTAGGGTTAGTTAGGGTTAGTTAGGGTTAGTTAGGGTTAGTTAGGGTTAGTTAGGGTTAGTTAGGGTTAGTTAGGGTTAGTTAGGGTTAGTTAGGGTTAGTTAGGGTTAGTTAGGGTTAGTTAGGGTTAGTTAGGGTTAGTTAGGGTTAGTTAGGGTTAGTTAGGGTTAGTTAGGGTTAGTTAGGGTTAGTTAGGGTTAGTTAGGGTTAGTTAGGGTAGTAGGGTTAGTTCGGGTAGTTAGGGTTAGTTAGGTTAGTTAGGGTTAGTTAGGTT